ACAAATTTAAATCTGATTGTTCAGTTCAAAAATATTTATTTAACATTTACAAATGTTTCTTTCAAATTTAAGTGTTTGAAATATTTTGTAATCATTATGACAACTTAATCGGTTTAAAAATATTTGAGATGCAACATAAAAGAAAATTTTTTTCCGCATCAAAATAAATTATAACAGTTTTTTTAAACAAAAAATTATTCAACGCTAATGAATTTGATATTCTTGTAAAATAGGTTTTAAAGCAGGATGCGTCGCAACACGATGCAAGATCTGCTTGTTTGGTTAGTGATAGTTTCAATTTGTTTTTGCTGTTTTTTAATTGAATTTCTTCTGTTTTAAAAAGTTTTTAGGTACCTGTAAATGATTGCCAAACGTTTAAGCTAAACCATATTTATTATCAAAGTTTATTTTATTCTTAATAAATATTCGTTTTAGCGACTCCCAAGCATAATAAATGAAAGAAATGAAAAAATGAAAAACGAAATGATAGGTTAGTTTATTTTATTTTTCACCTTGAATTTATTATAGGGCAGCGTGATGGCCTAATGGTCAATGGTGCATGGTCCAGTTTTACAGTGTGTGCAGTGACCGAGTTCGAACACGACAAAATTATCTCTGCCTATAACATGCTTTGTGTGTGATGTATCGCTTAGCCCCCTTTTATATACGCTGTTTATGTGTTGTAGATTCCTTTGCACTTTGAAGAAGTATATAAGATTTTTATTTTTTTTTTCTTTTAATTGTTTTTATTTCATTGGTATAACTTTTAATCCTATACTGTTTCAGTGTGTAGTGATATATATATATATATATATATATATATATATATATATATATATATATATATATATATATATAATTGTGCGTGTTAATTTCTTTCAAGTTGTGGAGTTTGATTACAAAATGCCTATTTTATTATAAAATAGGTATTCATATTTTTTGCTTGCAAAATTAAGGAACATTTATGTTTAATTTATTTAAAGGCAAGTTGAAAGAACTGGGAAACATGGTATTGAAACCATTTGGCCTATCAACAGATAATTTCAAAATGCAGCAAGATCCTACGACAGGCTCTTATTCCATAAACTTCCAACAGAGTCCTTCTAGCTGACGACGTCATTCATTTATGAGCATTACGATGTGTGATGTTTAGATGTATGTGGGCAAAATGTTTATATACGCAAGAGTGAGAGATCACAATGTATATATCTTTTAATAAATGAACAAATAATAATGAATAAAATATTATTTTACACAAAATTCAGACGATTTGGACGTTAGACCGAATTATGTTTACGCTGTAATGTGTAGATATATGTTGCGTGGGCTTCTATATAGTATTATATAGATGTCCATGGTATATAGTAGGTAACGAGCTTGAGTAGTTACTCACCGAGCAGTGGTTTGCCTACAACGAAGCAGTTTTTGTCCGTCCCCTATAGCTACCTGTATTTACGGTTCAGAATCGTACAAGCATTTAATGGATATTGCGGAGATTTCCGTATTTAATTCACAGCTGGGTTTTTAGATTTTCAAGCGAAATCGAAATGTAGCACTTTATACTAAGATGGAACTCTCGTCATATGCATATTTATAGAATATATATATAATAATATATATTCTTTATATATGGTCGTATGTGTTAGCTCGCCTAGCGCTCGAACCATATTTTCGGCAAACTTTCAAAACCAAATTTTTTTCCTGCAATAATGTTTTACATTTGTTTTATGTGCAATAAGGTTTTTAATAAAAAAATTACGTAAATCATATATATGGAATATAGTTTTATATATGGAATATATATATTCGTGAAATTCTTCATGGTATTTTATCTTTCCATATTTAGTTGTTTTTATCTATTTAGTTATGAAGGTAATGTTTTTGTGAAAGTTTCTGTGAAAAGTGGATGCGGTGTCGCGAAGTTTTTATTGTTTACAAGAAAGTTACATGTAAGTAGCTTTAATCACAAATGTCACTCATTTATTTTGCAACATTTGACGATAACTTAATAATCTTTAAAGAGGCCAGTTGGCAAAACCGAAGGCCATTCCTGGGTTTTTCTAAAGTTTTTTTTTGTACTTTTAAAAATTTAAATTTTAAAAGGACAAGCTCCTCCCACGATACAACTAATAGCTCAAAGCCAAGTCACAATTTGGTAAATTGAAGCTATTCTCAAAATTAATTTTCTAAATTTAATAAAGTTTAGACTTATTAGATAGACTGAAAGCTTAAAAGTTAAAAGTCTTAAAAATTAAATTAGTTTTGTTGGCATAAGTTTACATTCCGAACTACAATGTTAAAATTTGTTTACATTTATGATTGTTTACATCACTATCTCTAATAGAGAGTTACAAAAGTGTCTCCCACTAATATGCAGATAGTTGATTGAGATAAAAATGGAAGAATTTTAAAAACGTTTATATCGTATTTAAATATGTTAACATTGTAATATATTGATTAAAATAACAATATATATATATATATTAAAATTTATTAAAATCAATTTATTGAAATAGTTCTCGTAGTTGTTCTCGTGGTTGTTTTAATAAGGTTACATTAAAAGGTATGCCGACATCGTTGAGTAATATCATCTGCATCCGACACGACATCTCCATCATTGTAACAACACGAAACATATAGAACGAACAATTTTATTATACTTCATTTTATCATTTCTTCTATTTTCAATTAATTTTCAATATTACTTTTTCACGACAACCTAACTTAACCCTGCCCCTAACCCTGACACATATACACACATCAACTTTACACATATATACATTATACACATTATTTTTACTAAATTATACGTGCAAATTATAATATACGTACAGATAACGTGTAATATACGTACAAATTATAATAAAATAAAACATAATAATAATATTATAATAAAAACATATAAAAGGCAAAAGCGCATGCAGCTATTTTAATCTCAGTGCATTTTCGAATTTCAGTAGGAGGAGCTTATTTTACTCTCTATTAGAGATAGTGAATGTAAACAGACGTTGTAGTTCGGAATGTAAAATTATGCTGTTTTGTTTTATTAAGTTTTTACATTTTTTTAAAACATCTTTTGCATGGTGAGAATTTCTTTAAGTCAGCTTAGAGGTGGGTATTGAAATTAGGCATTCAATCAAATGTGATACCAAATGTGATACCTAGGATTTTTGGGTTGTGGTACAGTGTGTTGTTGAATTTGGCCTGACAATAGAAAGTTGTATTGAGCTGTATGTGTGGTGAGGTGGGCTTGTGGATTCACTTCTAAAAATTTGTCAGATAAAAAGTTATGAAAATGTGGAAGGTGGTCATTTAGTTGGTAGTAGTAGTAGTAGGTGGTCAGCATCAGGACATGATAGATAGATTAGATGTTGTACGGGCTTTAGTAACATGTAAATTGTAAAGTAAATTGAATATAAAAAGATGAAAAAATGAATTCTAGGGCAATGTTTCTTCTTATCTTATTTATAGGTAACAGCGTACATTATCTTTAATTTGTGCATATTTTGATAATTAAACTTAATTTGAAAGCTGTTCTAGAGTATGTATTTTTATTAATAAATTAAAGTTGGATTTTCAGATTTTATTCAACTTTCTAGAGTTTCACAGCATTAAAAATAAACGTTGTTATCGTATTTTCATTCATATAAGAAAAAATCATTTAAAATATAATCTCAATTATATTTAAACCTGAAATAAATTACAATAATTACCATATTTTCATTCATATAAGAGAAAAATCATTTAAAATTTATTCTCTATTATATTTAAATCTGAAATAATATCGTTAGAAATAAAATTTCAAACTTTGCACGTGTTTGATTTAATTTATATAACGATTATCCAGTGAGTGCTGATAAATTTAAATATTTTAAAATGATCACCATTCAGTCAAAAAGTTGGTTAAATGTAACTGTTAACTTGCTGGCAAGTCGTATTGTAACCATAGTAATTCAAAAGTCAGTTGATGTTAATAGCTTCATTTCTTATTGGAAAGCATTAGCTGTGAGTGTCAATCTAATTTCCCAGTCAACAAATTTATCCAAGAATATTTTGGCTCTTTCAAAGCCTGATATTCTTTGAAGAGTGTACCACATCGAAGAGCCAGGAAGATGCTTCATAGTGATTTGTTGAGGCATTCGCCGACGACTTTTCTATGGTAGAAATTAATTTAAGAAATGGAAATTTCTTTTACTATTCCTATCTTATTTTTTGATTGGCTGACTTTTATTGATTTCTGAATGTTGATGTCACATGAATAAAAAGTAATATTTCACTTGAGTGGTTTTTATCATTTCCTAAATAGCCATAATTGCATTTCTTTATAACTTATAATGTGTCTTGCTACACATTTTTTACTTCTCATATTAAATTTTTTGTCTTCTGCACGTATTAATTTCATAAATTTAATTTTTGTAATGTTACACCAATCATCTGAGGAATCACGATTTTTTATTGAAGTTTTATTTTATTTTATTGCTCCACATTTATTAATTACTTTCAAGGTTTATAACTTTATGCATTATGTTCATTACAGCTCTTCATCCATCAACCAGATTTCTAAAACGTTAGAAGCATGGTGAATGAATGATTTAAACATATTCCAAGGATAACCTTCTTTCAAATTGCTCCATTTTTTGTACAACTAGAAAATAAATTAACGGTAGCGACAATAGAATGTGAATTATTTATAAATTCCATCTAAGAAAATATGGATTGAAATGAGAGTGGAATGCCAAGAAAGTTAACAACCCACTTTCACAAAGTTTTTATCACGTTAAATTATTTTTAAAGATGATTTTATCTGTTGTTGGTTTCAATTGATTTAAATGGTGTATTTGTTGTTTGTGTGTGTTAAAACCAAATAACATTACAAAAATCTGTCGTAGCAATTCATTCTTGACAAATAGCTTAGTTTAACAACAGAATAATATTTTCATTACTGATTAACAATGAATACTGTAGTCTTGGTTCTGGAAATCAGCTAATTCACATTTTAAATGGACTTTCATGCTGCAATGGAAACATTTGCAGAAGCTTGGATTGCTGCAAATATGCAAAATTATGCATCAAGTCCTGCCAATAAAAATGAGGTTGTCTAATATAAATTTGTCTAATATCATCTATTTCTATATTTTGTGATCTATTTGATCTATATTTTATTCACTAATTAGTGGTTTATTATCTAATTTAATTATATTTTATTTACTAATGATTTGTTATCACCATCACAAGTGGAATTATTTTTTATGTTGGTTTGGTTTCAAAACTTACACATATTTTTTGAATTAATTCAAACATTGTTAGCACTACCAGTCAAGTTACTTTTATTATAATTTTTGTACAACAAATAATTTTGGAAAAACATTGATCAAATTGAGCAGTTTGAATTTTAATGCTAGTTTTGTTAAGCATTAGAATTAAGAATTTGTTGCGGTCTCATTTAAAACCAGTTTTATTATAATTATTATTATTTTTAAATATTTCAACTGCTAGACAACAGCAAAAAAAGACATCCTTTCAAACAAATCCATCAAGAATAAAGTTTACATGAATCTTGCTGAAAGTTATTCAAATTCGAAGTCAAATGCTGATGTGCTTATTACAGTAGCCACAAAAGGTTTTTTTTAACCAGATATAAATAAATGTATATAGCTAAAATAAAGCATGGAGAAATTTGATTCGTTTTCATTTGCAGAAAAGTTGATCTGGGAAGTAATGAAAAGATTTTGTGCTGTTGAATTGTAAAAATTATTCTTAATCTTATTATTTAAGAGTATCTCTATTTTTTAAGTGGGTTGTTCTATTGAGAAACATTTGTTAAACAGAAATAGCTTATACTTTAAGTTTATGTTTGATCAAACAGATTTATTCTTGTCTGCTCAAACTTAAAAAAATTTTTACTATTTTTTTAATTTTGTTAAAATAATTTTAAAAGGATCAGTTTCGTTGAGATGTGTGGTTGAACAGGAGTGCATAGAACGAACGTATCATGATGTGGAACCTGACCATGTTGTTAATGTTATCAATGACTCAGTCCTTTCTTTGCCTGGATCACTACTATTTTTTGATGTGGTTAAAAGTTCACTTCTTAAATTAGGGTTTTCAATATCGGACGTACACGATGCTAAGGGTTGGTATATTGTTATTTGGAATAGTCATTTTTCTGTGGTATTGAAGTGATATGCCAGTTTTTATATTCAAGTTTCTGATTAATAAATTAAATATTTAATAGAGTTGATGCCTGGATAACAAAATTGTTATTTTGTTTCTGTTTTATGCTATTGTTACATCATTCAATGTTGATCAAGTTCATTGATTGGCTGCCTGTTGGTTTTGAAATGTGTTATTTGCAGTTTATTACAATTAATTTATTCAGTTTCTTTCCTTATTGATGTAAACTTTCAAATTTGATTAAATCTATTCTTTTGAAAATTCATGAAACAAAACTAAGAGTAAATAAGAATAATTGTATAAAATTTTTGATTGTGCTGAAAAGGTCTGGAGGTTGAGGAAGGTATTAGAAAAATTGTTGTGGATGACAGGATGTATAAGAAATTCTGTCTGGAAATGTCTGTAATTACCTAAGAAGACTGAGCTAACCGAAAATGTAATCACAAAAAGTGGTAGAATTATTTGGATTTCGACTTGAAATAGATCAGATTTGTTGGAGATTTCTTCAAAATTCACAAGCTGAAAAAGTTTGAATCTTTGAAAATTAGCAAGAGCAGACGAGTAGAACATTAAAAATCCTATTTAAAAATTTTTCTATATTAAAATTTTAAGAGGTTGAGTAAATGCTTCAGCGAATTTTAATTCTCCGAACTTGAAAGCAGAAATGACAGTAAGAAGAAAAGTTTATTAGACTGACAGATGAAGTTTTTTCCAGTTATCTGGGTTGGATTTTAATTTAGAACTCTAGTAGGAGATTTCAACCCACAATTGTTGGTGGTGGTGGTGCAAGATGATTCCCGTTGTAATTAACGCAAGTTTTATTTTAAGGTTTGTGTTTGCTTTGCAGTCGGATTTCTTTTTTTTTTATAGTGTTTTCATCAACGAAAAAATCTTCAAGTGTTTTCATTTTGTTTTTAGGCTAAAACTAGAAATCTTACAGAGTCCTGGTTATGACATTAAACTGACCCTCACTGCCTTGTGAGTGATGTTGAATCATCAAAGGCTAGGCCCACCGCTTATAACTGTGGTTGCGTAAGGAAGGGCGTCCTGCGTAAAAATTATCCAAATAAATTACTTATGATGACAGAAGTGACAATGAATGGCGTCGAGGGGTTTTTCGGTTTCATCATAGGTAGCCAAACGGCAACCCCCGATCTCGGGGAAAATGTCGTCTAAACGGAAATGCCATGCTAAAACTAGAAATCTTAAAATTTGGGTTACACGATTACATCGATAGAATTTAATGAGCATTTACATTGTTTTTGTATTTTTTGAGATTTCAATATATTTTTGTATTTCCACTTGTTTTAAGTTTTCTTTATTAATTTGAGAAATCGCCTGGAAAGAAGTAAATTTTTAAAATTCTTTATTAGGAAAGCTCCAAGTCAAAAACTGGAATGAGCTGGATATAGAATCATTGACTAGTGACGACAAGATGACATTAGAGAAAATGCTCGGTCATATCTCCCTATTCTGCACTTTAAAGATTCGTTTAAAAAGGTTTATAATTTATACTGTTCAGTTGGAAATGCAATATTGAATGTAATGTTGAGCACTTGTTGGTTTGTTCTAATGAATAATTTTGATTTTTTCCAAATAAAATGAAATTGCTGTAGGCAACACTTCTTTTATATATATAATTAATTTGTTTAGTTTTGGTAAAGGTTTGTTTTACTGCACAGCGTATAATAATATTTAAGTCTATTTTAGATGTTGAGAGAAATAAATGAGCGAAAGAAAGAAGGGAAAATGTGAGAAATGAAACGTGAGAGAGTTTGTACTTGTTTACAATAACTTTTTTGCAGTAATGAGTGGGTTTGCATTGCTCTTCAGCCAGCCAACATTTTAATTTGAAACTTGAATTTTCTTATTCTTTTGAAATAACTATGTTGCAATGATTATGTCTCGTTAACAGTGTTTCAATAATAGTTTTGCAATAACTGTGTTACAAAAGAAATGTTGCAGTAATTATGTTACAATAACAATTTTGCAATAACTTGGTTGGTATATTTACGTTACAATAACAATGCAACTACAACAAAACTTTAAAGCCAATCTCTTGCTTTGCTTTATCCGTTTATTTTGTTATTATTTAAGTTTGATAGACTTGTTAATCATGTCAGAGGTTAGTTATTAAGACGAAATCTTTTTTAGCTTCTTTTTAAACTGTGCTTATTACAATTGTATAAAAAAAATGAGCTATACAAATTGTTTAAATTGAGCCCTGCATTTTTCTAAATAATATTTGTCTGTGTGTTCTGTAATGACCACATTTTCTATTCAACTTAATTTATTAATAAATCGACTTCTGAATTATTTCCGGCTGTGTTTGAAATGGTCTGAATTTTTTACAATTTATTTTTCAGTTTCAGGCACATTCCAATTAGATGAATTATTACCATAATTGGTTTTGATCTGACGTTTCATTTCCAAACTGCTGCCTATCTGACAGTTAAAACAACGTCCCTAGGTGTTAACCTAATTCTATGATTACCATTACTATCTCGCTATTATTACCATTAGTATCTCGCTATTTTAAATTTTAATAATTTCATAACGTTATTTCTACATTAGATCTATTTTAAACTTTATTGAACTATATTTTGTTAACGAGCTCTAGCAGTTATCATCATAACATGCCTATGGAGAATGATACTATGCAATGATTCCCTGTTAAATCTATCGCTTTTGTGATTATGGCGGCTTGGTGGCCTAGTGGTTAAAGTTGCTTGGTCCTGTTACTCATTGACCGTGTTCGAATATGACAAAAGGATCCCCGCCTATTAAATGTGTGATGCGTCGTTTAGCCCCTGTTCGTTTACGCAGTTTGAGTGTTGTGCTCATTCTTCTAGACTTTGGAAGAGTTTAACAGACTTAGACCTCTTTAACCTTTATTATTATTGAAAGATCGTGAGTGGCCTATCTAAAGAAGTTACATCTGATGGCTAAAAGCGAAGAACAATTGAATGAAATGTTGGAAAAGAAAGCTGTTATAGAGAAAATGATAGCCATTTGAATTTTTAATTCTTTATTTCAATAACAATATGCCTTCATATATTTTTTTTTGTATTCACATATGATGACTTTTTTTCAGCATAGATATTGACAAAATTGAATGGGATGATCAGACTGTACGATGTGCAATCATTAAGTTGTTAAAGCAATACAACCAGATCACTCTTGCTAAGATGTGTCCCATGCCGCAGGTTTGATTGACTTCGCAGATTATTGAATTTTGATATGAAAGTCTCACATGTTCATACTTGATATTTTATGCATTAATACATCGTTTTTACTGTTTTTCTATATTCTTTTGAATATTTTTTTTCTAGAATTTCTGTGTTTTCATGCATTCTGCACTCTGCGGCTTGCTTCCTACACTATTTTTTATATCAGTGATAACTAGATTAAAGTGATTATCAAAATGTTGTTTTGTTACTAACGATGTTTCAGCCAACTTCGATATGGATGGCGCTGGCTCGTGTATGCACTGCACGTCAATCAAGCACATTTTATTTGAACACTTTAATTTTAATTGCAACCCCGCCAAATGTTAGCGCATTTTAACGTTAGCAATATTTTAGTTTTATTCAATCTGTTAATTTTCATTCTAACATGCTTTCCAAAACTTGGAGACCTTGGAAATGCTAATAAATATGAGAGACTATATTAATTATGGTTATAATAATGCTAATAACTATTGTATGACAATTGCTGACATTTGAAAAACTGATTTTGTGTTTATTTAATTCATTTGCCTCAAGATTGTTTAGTCCACACTCGTTTTAAAAATTGTAGAACTTGACACCGTCACAAAGCTACAATTGTGCTTGAATATAAATGCATAAAAATGCAATTTTTCATTGTAAGAATTTTTTTCTGTATTCATCAAAAATTAATACCAAAAACAGCACTCATTATAATCAAATTATTTTAAATTTAACTGGTCCCTCATTTTAATCGTCATTAAATGTAAATTAATATTATTCATTTTTTTAGTCGATGATTTCAAACATCGTAAATTCAAAATATACTGCAAAAGTGTGTGCTGAAAAGTGCAAGGAGTTTGGAAACTGGTATAAGAAATTTCGGCAAGAAAATACATGCTCCTATTTCTGTTGGTTCAGTTTTGTTTTTAAATTAACTGCTTGTGTCATAGTTTATTGATTGACTTGTTGACAGGAATTTGGTGAGCCCCACTTGTTTTGGAGAAACCTATTTTTTTGTTTTTTTTTTATGTTATATTGTTGAATTAAGGTAACCAAATTGTCACATTAAAGTAAGCCAAATTAAAAATTGTTTATAATTTTACAGCTTATCCATAAAAATGTCACATAATACTTTTTCCATGGTCGAAGAGTTAGCTCAATAGGCAGAAGTGCCATGTCTCGCATTGTGCTTGCGTCATAGTCTGGTTCTCGCTGAATCTCAATAATTAACATACGCCATGCGTTTGTTATACGGTGTTTGTGTGTGCGTAAAAAAATGCGCTTGGATACTCCTGTTGTGCTGGTGTGTAATATAGATGCATATATAATTTTTCTTTCTTGCTTGTTTTTGTTTTTATATGCGTTGCATGTTCTACCATTCTCTCCGTCAGACAGGGTTTGTTTTTTACAGAATAAAATATACATCAAATATTGGCGTTTTTTCAGAAAATGTGTGCTTCTTTAAACTTTTTATTCTATTTTTAAATTCATCTGTTCTTTATAAAAAAAAGATGATGTTCGCAATTCTATGACACAACAGCGTTCCTACAGAAATTATTCTGTAATTTGTAATTTCCATGATTTTCGACTAACAGAGTATTTAAGAATGGCAAACAATCAAAAAACTGACGTAACAGGAGCTCTCCATTCCTATTCATCATTGCCATCGATTACCTTTTAAGGCAAACACCACTCAAGCAGCATCAACCTTGGCCCTGCAAAGAAGGACCAAAGTCAACTCAAACTCAGACAATCAGAAATAAAAAATATATGCGATTTCGAATTAACAGATGGTCATAGGAAAAGTGAGAAATGAAAATAAGAATGCTTAGCTAAACGAAGCATACAACGAAGCATTCATTCAGCTCAAATGCAACAAACATTGGTTTCAAAATAAAAGTCCAAACTGTCATTCAAATGTTCGGTCAGCCACAATTTTTTGATGAATATGAATTATTTCTGTTTATAAAATTCTTTTTCTTTGTCTTATGAGCAAAAAATGAACTCAGTTTACTGTGTATAATAGGCATTTATTGGTGGCAAAAAACTCAGTGACAAAAAAATATTTGAACGTTGCCAAATAAAAGATTATCATGAACTTTCATGAACTTTTAAACTTAACTTGACTTGATACATTCTCAATTTGTTATCGGTCTGTATGTACTGCAACATTTTTCCTGCGTGGAAATGATTTTCTAACACTCTTTTTTAGACAAGCCTATCTATAATGCTCTAATATTTCTACACTAGTTTAGGTCGTCAACTTACATTTTAAGTTAATTTTTTCTACATGATTCAAAACTATCATTTCAAAACTTATGATGTTAAACTTGATATTAAAGGTACACTTGTTGTTTTTTCAGCTGTTCCTGCGATAGGAACAAATATAAGTAACCAACTGAATACACGCATGACATTCCACCCTGTTGATGAACTTCCTCTCATGAGAAGCTGGTACAAATTCTGTCCCAACCCAACTTCCGAGGAGTTGAAGAATTATCTTCATGAACTCAATGTATCCCCTATTAGACAAGAGAGACCTAAAGTAAACATCATATTTGTAGTTTATAATGTTTTGTATTGTTTATTTCTTATTAGTAATAATTTCTCAATAATAATAATTTCTGAATATTTTCTTTATATAAACTTTCCAATACGTTTTTGTTATTTTGTCTACGGATATTAGTTTTATTCACGAATATACATGTAACATTTTGTTATTTAATATTGGAGTGTTCAAATAGCACTTTTTATCACTGCAATAATGGGAGATTTCAATGCAAATGTGCGATAAGCATGAGAAAAAAACATATTGATGGAATCAAACGAAGGAGAAGAAAATAACCACAATAGATTGTTGACGAGTTAGCCCTGACGGTAGAACTGTCTCACGTCGTTGTTATTGGAAGGTGGTCTGGTCCAAATATCGTTTCCGTCCAAAATACAATCCTGTATGCCTGGTGCATCTGATCAGTGCTGCTTCTTGCAAGCGAAGCTTTGCTGGCTGCAGGCAGACCATTGAAGCGTTGCTGGCTGTATAGAGACTATTGGAAGACATCGTTGACCGCAGACAGGCCAAATACTTTACGAAGCGGTTGCACAAGGGCCATTCAATTTTGTAATAAATTTGTAGATTGTGTTTTTTGTATCAGATTTACTATCAATTGATTAATTAATTTTATAGCTTTGTCAGCAGTTTAATTGTTAACCAATAATCTTTTTTAATAACTCTGTACTTTTTTTAAAGATTTCTCTGAAAAGATTAAGAATTTGGTGGCGAAACGAAAAGCAGAGAGTCAAGAAAGTAGATGATCAAGTTGTTGAAAATGGAGATAGCCATTTGTCTGACGAGTCATTAAATGGAAGAAAGAAACGACAGAAAAGGCGCATTTCTTTATCAAGTGAAGAAAAAATTACAAAAATGCCTTCACTTTTATCGAATAATAATAATATGAACAGTAGTGAACTATATCTGCTGAACAGCAGCGAGTCACAAATTAAACTAGTATCATTACACAACAATGGTTTGAATTTAAACAGAGCTAACGAATATCCTAAGGTTCAATGTAATTTAAACAGCATTGTTCACTCGGCTGCACATAATGGTTTAGACATTAATTATTTTGAATGAAACACTTGTTATGTCATATATTTTCATCGATGATTGTTTATAGATACTATTAGTTTTATCGTTTCCTAATTAATTTTTTTTACTGCCAATTTTTTCCATAAGTCCTGGGAATCGTACTCGTTTATTCGTGAAAGTTTGATTATGATTTTTTAATGCTAGATTTCAATCGGAAATTTCAGCTCGACATACGTTCGTTTTAGCCGTATGGGTGGTATGAGTTTGGCCAATATTTCTTAATCATGACTTTCAGAAATTATTTGACTGAACAATTGAGTTCATGAACGAGTGAGGTTGCTTAAGGTTTTTGGGATTTTTTAAAGGTTTGGAGCAAAAAGGTGTCAAAAATAAAATGATTGGAATGTTGATACCAGTGTGTCGGAATCGGAGAAATCCTGAACAGACTTATTTCAGATAAACTTTATCGGAAAGAAAACAGTGCTGGCAATCACTTTTGTTTATTGCTGTGATCATTCACTCGTTTATTCAATCGATAAAATCATTAGAATACAGCACAATAACTAATCGACAAGTAAATCACGGAATACAACTATTCGTCAGTAGCTAAGTTTCTCTTGTCCGACTAATTACATTGAGTTCTCTAGCCTTTACTGCAGTGAGATTCCAGCTATCAAAATTTTACATCTGTCACCAGTGTGTAATCTGAAGATATTCATAGCTGACTCATTCATCTTTTCTTCTCTTTTTCAATCTACGTCACATTTGCCAACGCAATATTTGTAAAAGCTCTCTCCACTTACATAACACTACATACATACTTTTTATCTTCATCAACTCACATATCTTCGTTCATCCAATAGTCATCTTTGTTTGTCATTAACCGTTCAGCCGCATCAACTTATCGAAAAATCACTAATATTCAACAGAAGCTTTACATAGAGGTTTCCTTCTATATGGAATGGTTTACCGACCAGCATTCGTAGGCAACCACCCATCAAACTCTTCAAAAAAGCGATTTAAACATTTTTTATTTGAAGTTTTTTCAGAGACGACGGGACATCCAAGCACCGCTGAAACTATGCCTAGGACGCTTTAAACTAATAATAATAAGATTTTTTCTTAACAACATTATCATCCACTAAAATAACTTTTCTAAAAAAAAGTTATTTAAATATTTTTTGTTCTTTATTATGTAGCTCTGACGCGCGCAGAACCGCTTACATATATCTGTATTTAAACTTTCGTGCCACAAAGACTGTACTATCCACAGGACACGACGTCCACACACGTTGCATATGCACACGCAAGCACCGCATCATACGAGCACGGCGTATGATAGTCATTGAGTTTCGGACCGATAGTGTTCGAACCAGGCCATCGCGTAACTGCACGAGACATTGCACTTCTACCGATTGAGCTAACTCGCCAACCAAATACCACCCCCACTGCCTTGAAAAACTCTTCAAAAATATATAAATAAATTAATAATATAAAAAATTTATATATTTAAATTTATATTTAAATATATATATATATATATACTATAAATATCTTTGGTCGCCGAGTTAGCTCTTTCGATATGTGCGCAACTTCTCGCGCTGCTATTACGCGAGGGCAGTGTTCGAATACTGTCCGAAACTCAGTGACCATCATACTTCTTTAACTACTTCTCCATCGCTTGCGATGTTCAGAGAGTGTTAGTAAAATTCACTGAGGTGCGCTGTTGAACATCGCGGAAATAGCGCTTTACATGTTAATTGATTGATACCGTATTACGCGGGGCTTGCGCTTGCAGCGTACGTAATGTGTATGTGTGTCGTGTGGTTTGGGTAGTACAGTCTTTTTGACACGAAAGTTTAATTACAAGTATAGAATAAAATGTAAAAAAACGTTTGATAGATTTGCATTATAAAGAATACAAAAAAATATTTTTTTAATCTGTTTAATATTTTTTATATAATCAATCAATCTTCGTTTTGCGTCCAGAGACCCGGTTTCCCGAGGTAGGACGTTGTTTTCTTTGCCATAAACTTTTTGCGCCAAATTAGACGATCAGTTGTATCCATTTCATTTAAATTTAGAGCTTTCATGTCTTGCTCGATTGTTTGCGACCAGGACTTCTTTGGACGGCCTTTGGGACGTGAGCCAGGTACTTCAACATCTGCAAGAGAAGTTATGGCACTGTTTCCATTTCGTTTATATCATCTAAACCAGCACGACGCAGGATTTCGGTAGATTTGGTGGCCACTGAGGCAGGCCACTGCTATTTAATATAAATAATTTGCTATTTTTATATAAATAATAAAAAAAGAGGAGATTTGATTCAGTTGTTTTAAAATCATGCCTAATTTGAACGTTTTAGTATAGTCAAAACCAAAACGCGAGGTCACAGTTAGAAATATTTTAAAGAGTTAACAAGACATAGAGGCAGAGTGAATTACTTATTCAATAGAGTCGCAAATACTTGGAACTCATTACCAAATGAACTTGTCGAGGCACAATCAATAAACAAATTTAAAGCAGGCATTGATTGTTGGATGAACAACAATCAATCAACGAATCAGCTGTGCTAGCATGCCTGAGAGCATACTCTCTGGATAACCTCCAGAGCAGCATTACTACAACAACTACTACTATTTAATATTTTATTATATATATGTATAAAAATATATTTATATTAATATATATATATATATAGTTTGGTTTTTATGTGTATACATATATTTAAAGATCTGACCTGGCCCTTTTAGGTACCAAAAAATATTTTTTTTAATCGATTAATTTTTAATGTCTTTCCTTTTTGGTACCAAAAGATCTTTATTTTATTCGATTAATTTTTAATTTCCTCCGTCGCGATCGGTGTGACAATACTTCATTTCCCTGTATTTTAAGGTTACACGTTGTTTTATTTTAATGTGAAATGCTTGATTTTGAATTAATGCTTGCAATTAACTCTCGATAACATCAGCGGACATTTTTTTTATTAAACACAGCTTATTTAAAGGCCGTTTGGCGCCACAAATTAAAAGAATCTAGTGAAATAAAATTCCAAGAAACATTTGGATTAGGATTAGCAATTTGTTAGTCATTAGATTACCATTACATTACATACACGAACATGGAGGAAGAATCATGGGACGATTTTGAATCTGATGCACAGGTTTTTGAAATTATTTAATATTTATTTTATATGTGGGTTGAGAACTATTTGTAAGCTTATTATGTGAATGCATGAACATCATTTTAAAATGTCAACTGTTTATTAAGTTAGTGGAGTTTAAAATCTTTTTTTATACGAAAAACTTTTCAATTGGAAACAAACCTCTTCAGTGGTAAAGTAAGAAAAAAATAGTGGTAATGGAGCAATACCAATATCCGAATATTGAATGGCCAATAGCGGCTAAACTACTAAAGACAATAATTTTATTTTATGATAGTCTAGTCTAGTATGTCACATGCATTTGAAAAAATTTTTTTTATATAAATTATTTTTTCTTATAAAGCAATATTTGCTGATTAAAATAATACCAAATTATTGTAGCATTATTATCTCAAGTCATGAAAAAATAGTTGTTTTTATCTTATTGTTAATTATTTATGTTATAATTTTATAATAGTACAAAACAAAGGTGAAGTAAGTAAATGTTCTGGTAGCACTGCAATATTGATGATAAAAAATAAATTAATCAGCAAAAGAGTATGAATGTTTGGAAAATGATTTGATTGACTTTTCAATCAACCAATTTTTGTGGGTGCTTTTTCATTTTTAAAGTTTTTATGATTAAAAGCTAATAGTTTTCTTTGTTAAATAATGCAAGAGATTTTTAGTAAAAGTATACCCTTCTGCCTACCATGCAATTAATAGTGAGATAAGTATTAAGTAAAAATGTAAATGAAATGAAAAGTGAACTTAGGTGAGTGTAATTTTTTGAATACTTTTAGTACATTAATCTTAGTACTTGTTTTGCATAAAAAAAGGTATTTACATGCCTACCAATGACAAAAAATTCATAAAAGTACATTTTCATGTTTACCAATGTTGAAGATAGATAAAAGTTTATTTCCCTGTCTAGCATGAAAATATGAATCTGTCTTTTTAAAAATATAGTATAAAAATTTTTGATCAAATTTCTTTTTTGAGTGATCTGTTAACAGAGCTTGCAATTAGTATTTACTGGCTAATTTAAGTTTTTGTATAAAAATATGGATATGGCTTTGTTTTAACACTGTTATATTTATTGTTTATATCTTCTTTTTTCAAGGTTCCACAATTTGAAGCTACAATAAACAGTAAGCTTTATTGAATATTTTTGTTTTTATGAAGCTTTTTTAAAATGTTTCTTGTTAAAATATAAATTTTAAAAGTAGAATTAATTTATTGATTTTTTATTATGAAAACTATATTTAAGTTATCTGACTCAAAGTGATGTCTCTGCCTATAATTAAGTGTACAATGCAATCGGTTATGCATATTCATTAAATATTGAATGCTACAAAAAAGCTCTATATATTTAAAAAATTCAATAAAATGGACCACTGATTAAGAACAGCATTAAATGTTTATGAAAAATTGAAATGATAATGAAAAAGCTCAAATAGAGAGGAATGAAACCAAAAATATCAAGATTTCAAATAGGGGATAGTACAGTGGTATAATGGTTAAGATCAGGACTGTGGCGTCTCGAGAACATCTCGTCTTGAGACGAGCTCTATACTGTCTTGATCTTGTCTTGAGACGAGCTCTATACTGTCTTGATCTTGTCTAGAGATCTCAACATTCTAGACTTGACTTTATCTTGTCTCGTTTTAAAACTGACAGTCTTGGTCTCATTTTTTTTTACTGTCTTGATACGTCTTGAAATTATTTTGTTTACATACAATTTTTTAAAATCATTTTTGATAAATTCTTCTTTAGCATACGTTAAATATATATATTTTAGAACATTTGTATGTATTAATAACGTGCATGCACCACATGTAGGCGTATTTTCTCATTTATAGTACTTGCTCTTAATGTCTGCTAATGGTGTTTTAATGTAATTATGGCATAATCAAGGTAGCCACGTCAATCGGATGGTACAAGTTAAACAAAAAACAATCATAATTCTTCACACTTCAAATGCATATAATATACATTCATGAACTGGTAAACATATGTATAATGTGTACATGCTTATAAACAAATAGATACACACAAACATATGCAATTACATAAATAATTAAATAAATATATAATCAAACTTAGGTAATAAAAATCAAACTCATCTTATTTCTTTACAAATTCTCATTGATTTTTTCAAATTTTGATGTCTCGATCTTGGTCTCACTTTTGTTTCAAACTGTCCTCAAATATCTCGAGACATATTTTTTGAAGATCTTGTCTCGGACTCATCTTGAGCTCTCAATGTCTTTGTTTTGCCTTGTTTTTAACATATACTGTCTTGTCACAGCCCTGGTTAAGATGCCTGGCAGTTGTTCATATACAAAGAAATACCACCTGCTTGTCACATGTATTTTATGCGATGCATTTATTCATGCCTATTTACTTATACCACGTATTGGTTGTTGTTGCTGTTTGTTATTTTCCTCATCTTTTTCCGTGGTTTCTATGCAGAAATGTAAATGTTAAATATTTCTATAAATGTTTTTATAAGAAAAAAATTTTCATCTCCCGCAAAATAAAACCTTTTATTTTTGCAACATATGAAACCATTCTTTTATGGTGATGCCAACTTTTCCTTTGCAAAATATTAAAGAAAATATGAAAGAAAATTCTGGCCTGATAGAGATGAATAAAGAAAAAACAATACTGACTGTCATGCTGCTAGATTTTTGTGCTTGATAATTTCAGTATGAACCTTTCTCCAATGTTATCGTAGACATTTGAAATAGCTTGCACTTGTGCTGCATTCACAGGGTTGTGCAATGGTGTAATGGCTTAGATACATACCCATAAAACAGACGTCAATGAGTATTTAAAATTTTGTTGTCGCTTAGAATTTCAGATTTCAAAAATTACTTGAAAATTATTTATACATTTTTAATCTAGTGTTTTTGACAAAAATTGCTCAAAATAAGATTGAGTTCCAGTTGGATAGAATTAGTATGATCAAAAGCTTCCATTAAATTTTTTAACTTTTTCCAGATCTCACATCAAGTGTACCAATTGACACTTTTGATGCTCAATCTTCGTTTGGTACTAACAATGGATTTGGAAATAATGCTGACCGGAGAGGATTTGGAAGGAATGATGATGACTGTGATGAGGTTGAACTGGGAGATGACGGTGGTTCTGGATTTGCTAGAAAAAATGATAATGGTTTTGGAACTAGAAATAATAATTTTGGCGGGTTTGGAGGGAAAAATAGGAATGGTGTTTTTGGTCAGAAAAATGGTGATAGTAGTGAAAGTGGGTTTGGTGGAAGAAATAATAATAATGATGATGGTGGTAGTGGTGGTGGTAGGGGCTTTAACAGAAAAGGTAATGGTTTTGGCAGAACGATTGATGATAATGACAGTGCTGGTAGTGGTGGGAAGAGTAATGGCGGTTTTGGTAGGAGGAACAATTATAATAATGATGATGATGCTAATAAATTTAGCGGTGGGAGTAATGGTAGATTTGGTGGAAGGAATAATAATGGTGATAGTGGTGACGGAGGTAGTGGTGGATTCGGTGGAAGAAGTAATGGTGGTTTTGGTAGAAGAAACAATGACGATAGTGGCAGCAATGGCGGATTTGGTGGAAAAAATGGTGGTTTTGGTAAACGAAATAATGATAATGATGATGGTAGTAGTGGTGGTGGTGGGTTTGGTGGAAGAAGTAATGGTGGATTTTGTAGGAGAAATAACAACAATGATGATGGTTCCAGTGGTGGACGTGTTGGTTTCGGTAAGAGAAATAACGGTGATGATGGAGGTTTCGGTAAGAGAAATAACGGCGATGATGGTGGTTTTGGTAAGAAAAATAACGGTGATGGTGGTGGTTTTGGTAAGAGAAATAACGGTGATGATGGTGGTTTCAATAGACAAAGTAATAATAACAATAATAGCGATAACGGAGGGTTTAGATTTGGTAAGAAAAATTTTGATAATGATGATGATAATAGAGGTGGGTTTGGAGGGAGAAGCAATGGAAGCTTTTCTAACAGGAGAGGTGACGGTGAAGAAAGTAGCAGTAGATTTGGTAGAAGAACTAATAATGGTGGTGGTTTTGGTGATAAGAATAATGAAGGGGATTATAACAATGAGGATGGTGGAAGGAGTGGTGGATTTGGTGGGAAAAGATCTTTTGGAAAAAGAGGTGAGGATGGCTCAAAATTTGGCAACCATGAGAGTGGACGTAAGTTTGTTGTTGTTATTAATTTTTTGTAATTTATGAATTTATATTTATTTATATATTTTAATTTGTGATTGTTCTTATGTGACTAGTCATGATGTTGAATAAACTATTCTGAAGTCATTTTACATTAAAGCAGTTTTTGTTGTCGTTGCAAAAGTCAGATTAGGCCTGCACTTTTGTGAGTTAGCTGCTATTTTCAATGCATTTCGTCAATCATTTAATTTTTCCAGGTGGATGTTTTAAATGTGGAGGCGACCATTTTGCTAGAGAATGCACCAATCCTGATCAACGAAAAGCTGGTTATTATTTTAATTATTCAACTACCTTAAGCAAAAAGTTGTCTACCAAGTGCTTTAACCATTATGTTAATTATGCAAATTCCAAATTGCATATTCGTCGCCATTGTTTAAAGGTATCCAGTATTATTTAATTGCGGGCCAAATAAATTGGTGGGAGCCAGTTTAGGCTCGCATGTTGGCTGAGCTAGCTGCTATTTTCAATGCATTTCGTCAATCATTTAATTTTTCCAGGTGGATGTTTTAAATGTGGAGGCGACCATTTTGCTAGAGAATGCACCAATCCTGATCAACGAAAAGCTGGTTATTATTTTAATTATTCAACTACCTTAAGCAAAAAGTTGTCTACCAAGTGCTTTAACCATTATGTTAATTATGCAAATTCCAAATTGCATATTCGTCACCATTGTTTAAAGGTATCCAGTATTATTTAATTGCGGGCCAAATAAATTGGTGGGAGCCAGTTTAGGCTCGCATGTTGGCTGAGCTAGCTGTCATTTTCGATTCATTTTGTCATACACAATTTTTTCAGGTGGATGTTTTAAATGTGGAGGCGACCATTTTGCTAGAGAATGCACTAATCCTGACCAACGAAAAACTGGTTTTTATTTTTATTCCACTACATTTGACAAAATTAGTCAAGCACTGCTATCTATTTTTATTGCAAGAGAAATTATTAGATACTTTATATTCAACTGTGTTCATTGGGCACACTCACTTCTGCCCAGTTTTAATTGCATGTTTACCATCATTATGTTATTTTATGGGACACTGGGCAAAAATTTATGTTACTAGGTCAACGTTGCAATCAAGATGCTTTCACTACTGCCAGAAAAGTCATTTTTTACCAAATCATTCCATGTAGCATAAAATTTTTATCCAAATTCAACTTGTCTTTGGTTTTTTGCAGACTTTCAACCAGATTAAAGCCTTTTTATCCTCTTGTTTTTTTTTTACCTCCTCCTTTGCATAATTTCGGCAGACTTGGATGTTCCGTTGATAGTAATGATGCTGAAAGCCAGCTCAATAATAAATGTTAATTTCGCTTCTTGAAGAGTATGATGGATGGTTGTTGATGATTGTTGGCTAGCCTAGCAAACTATTTCATATGGAAGGCGAACTGTAAGTGACTATGGCTATTGATGATTTGTTAGCAGGTTGATGCAACTTTCAACTTTTTTAACTCGCCTCTTAATGTTCCTTTTTTCAAGACTTATTAATTTAATCTCAATCTTTATACTTGCAACTTTCCTGTTAAGCTAATTTTTTAAATTTTGGCAAATTTGTATGCTCTCTTTAATCATATATTATGCAAGTGCTTTTATCGTATACAGCTTTCAAATTTGCTTACAAGGGCATTCTTTTACATTTTCTAAACTCATTCTAAGCCATGCCTCTCCTGCTGCCTTTCCTGGTCCATCTCCAATGAACATGCATTATAATTCTCCATTTTATACTTTCTTTTTTAAATATTTATTTTCCTGTTTCTTCATCTTCTAGGCACCTTCTCAAATTTATATTTTGTGTGCTTATCCATAAAAATTCTGTATGAATTTTCATTTCACTTGTAAGCACATCATTTATTGTAGTGATCATGGTGATGCAGAACATTTTCATTTACCTTATTTGTTTGGTATATGCTGAAGTATATTACAAATCTTTAAATAATCAACCCATCACACCTTAAGTTCAGTTTGCATGTCCATGCATCTCTACCTCTAGTCAAACTGGTTTATCCATGCATCATCACTCACCAAAACGTTTTGTCCCATGCATTTATCTAACTATTGCGTCATTCTGGTTTTTTTATGAACCTTCCCACTGGACTGACCACTCTGTCCTGTCTCTTACACAATTATGGCTCAAGATTCTATAAACCAATTCTAATTTTCTTCTTTCAAAGTTTCTCTAATAGCTTGAAAGTCTTTAAAACCGCGTCAGATGTATACCAGGCTCAACATCGTAAATCCTTTCATGCTAAGCTGATTGATTATGTCATTCAATAGTTAATGGCAACTTTAATGCGTACTCATTTTTTGTTAGCTAACAATGCAGGGGTTGATGGGAAGAAGCCTCCAACGACGTATGTGCCTCCCGAACAAACATTAGACGAAAATCAAATGTTTGAATCCATTTGCAAGGGCATCAACTTTGATAAATATGAAGATATACCTGTTGATTGCACCGGACAAAATCCACCTCAAAATCCAATATCTAGGTTTTTCTTTGTTCCTGTTTAAACAGTGTAATATGCTAATCGAATATTTTTAAAGCATTTGTAGAAAGATAATAAGTAGCTGCCGGTTCCCAATAACTTTGTTCTTACTAATGGACGTCAAAATTTTTGTTTTTTTAAATTTTTTGTTTAATATTGAACTATCTTCTAGAATAAAAAGTAGTTTGACGGGCATCAAAGAAGAAGTGGTTCTAACCCATGTTTACGTTATTTTTTAATGAGAGATTATCAAATAATAGTTTTAAAACCAGCAGTTTTTTATTTTTAAATAGTATTAAGTGATATTTTCTAAATTGATGGTGGAGTGTTTTGTGCTAATATAATGTATATTAATCTGCAGCTTTGAAGACTGTGCAATTCATGCAACCCTCAAATCGAATGTAGTCAAGGCCAAATACGACCGACCAACACCAATCCAAAAGTGGTCCATTCCAACAATTCTTCTTGGTCGCGATCTCATGGCATGTGCTCAGACTGGTTCTGGAAAAACAGTAAACTTCTTTAATGTTACATTTTTATCGTCCAACACAAATTAACAACGGAATAAAAGCTTTAAATGAGAAATTGAATTATTTATATCCTTTGCAATATAATACTTGAATTATGACTTTCACTGCATTGAAAGTTTAATGTTTTTATAAGTTCAAAACCATAAAATTTATTTGAATTTTTGTTTGTTTAGCATGTCTGGCCTTGTTTGACAATGCAGAAATTTGTAATGCAATTTTAAGAATATTGCTATAATAACATTTGTTGTAATGGAATGCAGAAATTTACTTAAAAAAAATTATTTATGTAATGTCCGTTTTAAAATAGTATTTGAATTTTTGTTTGTTTAGCATGTCTGGCCTTGTTTGACAATGCAGAAATTTGTAATGCAATTTTAAGAATATTGCTATAATAACATTTGTTGTAATGGAATGCAGAAATTTACTTAAAAAAAATTATTTATGTAATGTCCGTTTTAAAATAGTAAATAAATTTGAAGCATTTGTGTAAATGTAATGTGGGTGAAATAAAAAGTTCAATATATTTTTTTATTTTTAGAGACAAAATATTTTTTCTAAATTATATGTTTGGTCAACAACATGTTCCAGCATTTTCAAGGCATAATATTGAAGAAATATTTACATGGTCACATTCCTTTCTCTGTTTGATCATATAAATATTCGTTCAATATTCAAATTACAGGCTGGTTTCCTGCTTCCTGTGTTGACGGGTATGTTGGAAAGGGGCATAGAAGGAAGTCCCTTCACTGAATTGCAAGAACCACAAGCCATCGTAATCGGTCCAACCAGAGAACTGGTTGCACAGATATACAAAGAGGCTTACAAATTTTCATTGAACACGAGGATCAGACCTGTGGTTGTGTATGGGGGTGTTTCAGTTTCTCATCAGTTGCACGAAATAGAAAAGGGAGCTCACATTGTCATCGCCACCCCTGGAAGACTTATTGACTTTATAAATAGAGAAAAGGTTATACATTTTTCATACTGATTAATAATTACAAAATTGTCACTTGTAAATAATTACACCTTAGCAGTAAATAATTCTTTTATTAAAATGCTGGATGCATTGAAGATTGACTGAAAACTCTACATGTTCATTCAGATAATGCCTTTTTCAAATTAATACATATTACTATGTATATATATATATATATATATATATATATATATATATATATATATATATATATATATATATATACATACAGTATTGTATGAATTCTATAGAATTGTTGGCATTAATCAATTAAGTTTGTTTTGGTAAGCAATAAATTTTGATTTCATGATGTTTTTTTTTGAAAATATATAGATTGGGCTGTCTAAAGTAAAATACTTGGTTCTGGACGAGGCAGACAGAATGTTGGACATGGGCTTCAAAGACGATATCACAAAAATTTGCTGTAGGATGGGCATGCCTGATAAATTCAACAGGCAAACATTGATGTTCAGCGCCACGTTTCCTTCTGAGATCCAACAAATTGCTCATCAACTTCTTAATGACTACATTTTTATCACAGTAGGCATGGTAGGAGGTGCAAATCAAGACATTATTCAAAATATTGAATTGGTAGAAAACAAAGAGAAACAAGAAAAACTTTTGAGTATTCTGAAAAACCAAAATAGTGGGTATTTTAATTATTAGTTACCATTTATTAAATATTCTCTGTTTTAAAAAATAGTATTAGTTCGGTATTTTATTTCATGCAATTGCTCGTGATTAAACAAGAACTCCCTTTATTCATCAAATGTTCATCAGGTGAGGAACGTACTTTGATATTCGTAGAGAAGAAAAAAATGACGGATTTTCTCGCTTTAGTCCTTTGCCAGCATAACTTACCAGCCACAAGCATACACGGGTAGGCAGATTTTTGCTTAATCACACGTGATTCCCGTCTTTCTTTTGATTTTAACTACTAAAAATATTGCCAAAAGATTGGTATTTAAAAATTGTCATTATGATATAATGAAGTGATTATGGTTTTCTTTTATTTTTATTAGCTTTGAAACAATTTTATTTTTTTTCACCATTGATTTTTTTTGAGCCAATGCTAGTCAATTGTTTCTTACGAATATTACAGAGATAGAGAACAGAGGGAAAGAGAAGAAGCTCTAGCATATTTTAAATCTGGAAAAACTCCAATTTTAGTGGCTACATCCGTTGCATCTCGAGGCTTAGATATACCAGGTGTAAATCACGTTATCAACTATGATCTACCTGCCAGCATAGATGAGTATGTACATAGGATTGGTAGAACTGGTAGATGTGGCAACATTGGTCAGGCAACTAGTTTTTTCAATCCATCCAATGATTCACAGCTTGCTAGACCTCTTGTAAAAATTCTTTCCGAAGTTTGTACTTATTTCGCAGTCATTTAAAATTAGTGTTAATTTTTTTAAGTGCATTACACTTAATTGCCATTAATTCGACCAGGCCTCTCAAGAAGTTCCACATTGGCTTGAAGAACAGTCTGGCTTATCTTCTGGCCTTGGGGGCTTTGAAGGGCAATCAGAGGAACGAGTCGATCTTAGAAAAAATGGAAATATTCAAATAGCAGATAGTACAAAGGAACAATCAATTTTTCCATCCAACAATTTTGAAGCACCTTCAGGTGATTTTGGTGTTGAGGAAAGCTGGGAATGAAATCTTCTATTTAGTCAAACTGCTGTGCCTTTACTACGTTTTTTTACACTTGAATTCTTTTAATTCATACATATTTGTTTGAGAAGTAAGTTTTTTTTGTTCTTATCACATTGTACTTTGACATAAAGGGATAAATCATTACTTTGAAGATTTTATTTTTGAACTGTAATGTGTTTTTGACGCATTTAATTCATTTATCACATATACATTAAAACGTCAGTTATTTTCGTTTGTTCGTGACATAAGTTTAATAAGTGTTTGCGGTAACGGAAAGTAATTGGATGCCGCAGAAAAATTCAACCTGCCGCTCGACAAACGCTGGCTATAAAACGTATGAGATCATAAACGGACAATCAAGGATTACCGTTTGATTAGATATTTAGTATAGAACAGCTTTGGAGTTGGCCCTATAAAACGTTTTTGATAAAATGGATACACGGCTGTGCGCTGCGCACGTGTCTATGCATTCACATGTATGTATGTATAAGTACGTTTACAGGCTCTTAACCTACGTTTATAGGCTCTTAACCTACGTTTATAGGCTCTTAACCTACGTTTATAGGCTCTTAACCTACGTTTATAGGCTCTTAACCTACGTTTATAGGCTCTTAACCTACGTTTATAGGCTCTTAACCTACGTTTATAGGCTCTTAACCCTGGGAGGCAGAACCGCCCTTAGTTGGTTTCAAGATTTGTCGACGAAAGTTCCAGGGTAAGCCTTTACGCATGATCACGCACATTTTTGTTGTGAAAATTCATGCCAGTTTTGATTCCATAAACCTATCAGGTAAAGATCCCACCCTTACTTCAACTCGCCCTGTTCACTTTATCCAGGATTGAGCCTGGCATGTACGAAAAGAAGAATTATTCATTCTTTCTTCGAGTGGAATGCTTCAAATTTTCAAACAATTATATATGGCGGGGTTGGGGTTCCGCGTTAAAACCTAACAAAACATTCCCAGTTATTTTAACTCAGTGTTTTTTTTACTGTTAGCCACTCTTACGCTGTTAACACTATTCTAAGCCCAACTTTGTTGACTTGATATATAAAACATAATGGGATATTCTCAACTTCCCCCGACTATCGACGATTGTAATCACACATATTTAACGTTCTATTTCATCACGCCCGTTGAAATCTTTGCTCACGTATTATTACTGCCTGTGCAACATTTTAAAACTCGTTACTTACGCCGTTTTTTTAATATAACGACTATTCGAATATTAAATATCTAAGCTTTTGTTCTAGGTACTGGTAAACTCAAACGAGCACGCAAACACGTCCAGGGACCCAGTTTCCCGAGGTAGGACGTTGTTTTCTTTGCCATCAACTTTTTGCGTCAGATTAGACGATCAGTTGTATCCATTTCATTTAAATTTAGAGCTTTCATGTCTTGCTCGATTGTTTGCGACTTCATTGGACCTTCTACGTTCGAGCATTTCTGCGATTTCCATGCTGCAGCCAGTCAGTGATCCAACATTGAGCGTTCTAAGTCTAAGTGCCATAAAGGGGCTATTTTGAATTCTTCTGCAACATTCCTCCGCTATTGCATACTTCGCAGGGATTCTTGGCACCCCGTTGTTTTTCTTTGTGATGACATAGGAATTATTTTGCGAAAAGTTTTTACATCCGGACACCCATCCTGACGACAACCACCAGTTATAAGCGGTGGGCCTAGCCTTTTGCTCAAAAGCACGCAAGGCAGCGTGGATGCAGTTTTATGTCATCCCATGCATCAGCTGTTATAATAAATCCAAAGCTTGAATTTGTGTTGTGGTAAAAAAACCGTTTAGACAATAAAACTTATACCATGACGTGTTCAAAGAATTGATCAATTTAACGTTTTTTATTAACAACAGTCAAAAATGTAAATAAAAAGTAAGCGTTTCATTTAAAACGATTTCCAGTTACTAGCAACATCGTCTCCCTCTCCCCGGTTCATCTTACCAGTGTAAAATAACTCGATGTACCTATGTTCTGTAAACATACAATTTTTAAATGTCATTGAATAAAATATAAATTTAAAATGTTTTAGTGTCATACACGAATTAATTAGTTTTATGTTGACTCTATACGTTATTATCGTTTAAAATTACTCTATAACTGGCAAATTACGAGATTATCCATTTATTCAAGGTTCCTTTTCATAAACATGGCAGGCAGCCTCTTATGGGTATTTTATAACTTGGATATTGAAGAAATAGAGATAGTATTAATTTTTAAAGAAAAAGTTCAAATGGAAAGTGGGATGACTAGAATATCTTGTCTGCTGCTGCAGGATTCATCTGTCAATCGACTTTAAATATGCCAATCACAGATAAATGAAATGATTGTGAAGACAAAAAGAAGTAGGTTAAATAAAAGAGATGAAATCAAATTGTATAGAATATGAAATCGTAGTCTATATATAAGAAGTCTGAAGTAAAAAACAGACGTAGTTGAATTTACAAAGATTAAATTTGAATTTAACGTAGTTGAATTTACAAAGATTAAAGATTACATTTACAAAGATTAAATTTTACAAGATTTATGCAAGGTTAAATAAAAAATGGCAAGGAGATAACATGTTATTTAGAAAAAAAATACTGAAGTATTAGGAATAAGCTAGGCGCTTTGAACTCGTAAAGAAAAAAGAAACGAAGCAGGATGCGTCTTTAAAGCGTCTTTATATTCGGACAAATTTTTAAAACGGGTGAGAAAATTAGTGAAGAATGTAAAAGATAGTGAGATAATGTATGGTCTTATACTTTTTTTAGTAGAGGGTAAGACAGTTGACGTAATATTATAGTAAAGCCGGTATTTTGTTGACTACATTTATTTATACAAATAAAAGAGCACCAAAGATAAAAAGTAGAAAAATTGGTTTGTTTTTCTGACTGAATGCGTCAAAGTTTGGCAAAGTCTGTTATTTAATAGAGTTAGAGAAAAATGAGTAGTAGTCAGTTACATCGGAAAGTGTGTTGAAAAAAGTGTAGGTAATAATAGCAGAAAGCAAAGAGTAGATGAAGAAAATACTAAAACAATTACTATAATCACAATAAAAAGTCAAATTATAAATTTGAATAAAACAAAAGTCCCGTAAAAGAGTGGTAAACTTGTGTTGTGTTTACGGCAAATGTGTTTGGACGAAGTTTACGAAACATACAAAGAGACGTACGAACAATGATGAAGGCTTAAGAGTTTCTTTACAAAAAACGTAACGCAGAAGAAACAAAACAAAGTGGGTGCAAAGGTTTTCAGATATATGAAGTCAACAGACGATAGTGAATTAGTAATAGTGTATGTAAAAATCCCTCGAACGAGGATGATTTATTACTGAATAGATAGTTTTACATTTATAAGCATAATATTATATTTTAAATAATTATAAATCAAAATCAAATTATAATATGGTGAAAATTTGCATATGTATGAAAAATAAATACATACTGATAGACTGTCTGTCTTTTTTCATTGCTTGGTCCGCATCATATTTATTCATGAAGTCTGCGTTGGCATTTCCTGAGGGACGGCCATCTTGATTCAATTCAATCTCAATATTCACAGGAGTTGTTGGGTAGAAAAACTGGAAATAAATATAATAATAAACCTCAAAAAGTATTCATGCAGAAAAAAAATCGGTCTCAAAATTAGTCAAGTCTATAGAAAGATAAACTTTTATTTAAAAAAATATTTATATCCTCAACCAATAGTGAAACGAGTACTTAGACTTGGAACACTCAATGTTGGATCACTGACTGGTCGCAGCATGGAAATTGCAGAAATGCTCGAGCGCAGAAGGATTGACATCTGCTGCCTTCAGGAGACCCGATGGAAATCGAATGGTGTCTGCCACATCAACTCAGACAAAGAAAAATATAAACTATTCTGGAATGGTCAAAAGACGTCCAAAAATGGTGTTGGAATTTTTGTCAAAGAACCGCTAGCCCAAGAAGTACTGGATATTAAAAGAATTAATTCACGTCTCATGTGGGTCAAGCTTCGCCTAGAAAAGCAAACAATGACTATTTTTTCTGCATACGCACCACAGACAGCCGAATCAGAAGAGATGAAAAATGACTTCTGGGCTGCGTTCTCAGACACCATCTCAAAAATACCAAAATCTGAAACAATCCTGATTGGAAACGATCTCAATGGCCACGTTGAAAAGAAAACAGATGGGTTTGACAACGTACATGGCGGTTTTGGCTGTGGAGAACGGAATGAAGATGGCAACCGCATCCTTGAGTTTGCTGAAAGTCACGGGTTTATTTACCTGGCAAATCATGTGTCGCCCAACATAGACTCCTTGTGGCAGACCTGGTTGTCAAACTGTCACAACGTAAGTCTAAACAAATGCCTCGGAGAATCAAAACGTGGAAGCTGAAAAGCAATATTCATCGAGGAAAATTTCAACTGATCGTTGCCACATAGTTAGACCACCAATCGCAAGCCAGTACAGATTGGAGTACATACAAAACCGTTTTGATAAACGCTGCAACTACAGTTTGTGAAAAAACTGGTACAAAACGCCAGCATGAACGGGACACTTGGTGGTGGAATGACAGTGTACAAAATGCAATAGCTGAAAAGAAAGCTGCATACAAGCAATGGCAAAAATCAAAGTCTGTTGACGACCATAAAATTTTCCGTGAGAAGAACAACTATGCAAGACGTCAAGTCGCACTGGCTCGGACAGATCAGTGCAGAGAGTGGCTCACTAAAAGCAAAGGTGAACAAATGAAATCTCTGTATCGTGTAGCAAAACAAGCAAAGCGTACGAAAAAGATATAGTTGGTGCCTCATGTATCAAAAACGACAAAAATGAGATGGTTCTTGAACAAGATGAGATCAAGCTACAGTGGAGAGAATATTTTAACCGTCTGTTAAATGAAACAAATCCCATCAATGTCAACTTTGACGCTCCACCCATCGAAGGTCCGATTCCAGACATCACAGTAGAGGAGCTTACAGAAGCTCTGAAAGCTATGAAAGATGGAAAGGCAGCAGGGCCCTCTGGATTCACAAATGACATTATCAAAGCATCTGGCACTGCAGGTATCCAAACAACTTTGCCGTGAAGTGTGGAGAAATTGCTCAATGCCGACTGAATGGAACTATAGCATGAAAGTCCCGCTATACAAAGGCAAAAGTGATCCATTGAACTGTTCATCACATCGGGGTATACGTCTGTTAGAACAATCCATAAAAATTGTCGAGAAAATCATTGAGAGAAAATTAACGTCGTGCATCACAATCGGAATAATCAATTTGGTTTCCTAGCGGAGAAATCAACAATGGATGCAATTCACATCCTTCGGCAACTGCAAGAGAAGTACCTCAAAAAGCATCAACAACTATCACACATTTTTGTAGACCTTGAAAAAGCATTTGATCAAGTTCCCCGTGAAGCAATTAGGTGGTGTCTACGTCGATAACTCATTCCAGAATATCTTGTTCGACTTGTGACGAATACTAAGACCAAGATAGAGAAAGTCACATCGTTTCAATATCTAGGAGATTTCTGGATTGTACTGAAACAGCTGAAGCTGCCGTTCGAGCACGCTTACGTGCAGCCTGAAATAAATGGCATCTCCTTGCCTCTATATTGATGCGGCGTGATATCCCACTACCACTACGATCAAGACTTTATAAATCTGTGATATGTCCGGCGTTGTTATATGGTGCAGAAACATGGCCAATGACAACCAAATTGGAACAACTTCAACGAACCGACATGAAAATGCTCCGATGGATGCAACGAATTAGTCTGAAGGACCACATCAAATCTACCGAAATCGTGTGTCGTGCTGGTTTAGATGATATAAAGGACGAATGCCGGCAACACCGTCTGCGGTGGTTGGTCATGTTAAACGAAATGGAAACAGTGCCATAACTTCTTTTGCAGATGTTAAAGTACCTGGCACACGTCCCAAAGGCCGCCCAAAGAAGTCCTGGTCGCAAACAATCGAGCAAGACATGAAAGCTCTAAATTTAAATGAAATGGATACAACTGATCGTCTAATTTGGCGCAAAAAGTTTATGACAAAGAAAATAACGTCCTACCTCGGGAAACTGGGTCTCTGGACGCTAAACGAAGATTGATTAATTGATCAATAGTGAAACGAGTGAACATAAATATAGATGCTTATAACCAGACACCTGAAATTAAACATACACAATAAAATGAAAGCTCTATCAGTTACACTTAACCCTGGTCACTTGGTCTCAACTTCGCTTAATCCCGAATTTCGGTATTGTTTATTGTTGTCAACAACTATTGACTTTTTTATTATATTGAGAATTTTTTAATAATAATAATTAATATTATAATTAAAATCGTCCAATGTCACAGTTATTTACCACGTTACGTCCCGACATTGCCATTCTGCTGCGGGGTAGCAAAATAGGTGCCAGAACTATACAATGCGAACGTCTAAAATACATCAGTCTAAAATCACATCTATATAGTGACTACATAAACTGCACTATAATAGTTAATACATTAGAATTATCTCCAATTGTCTTCTATAATAACTCAAGTTTATATTTATTTAAAATTTTATGTCTGCATTGCTTTGATGTAAAGTTAATAAACACTGCTATTATCTCGTCGTATGCTATTTATTGGGACAGAAACAATGCATAATGGTAATTAAATATAGTTCTAACTCCAGTGCACGTGCCATTGTCATCGCGAATGGCAGGATCGCACATTTTAAATATATTCTATTATAATTCATTTTATTGAACATCTCTTTTCATCATTTCATTTCTTATTTTGACCAGTGAAAAAATAAAATATGTTTCCATTATTATTACCAATCCTTAACCTAACCCAAATTTTTAACTATTTCCTTAATCTATCAACAAAAAATAAACAGCAAATAGGGCTCTCCCTATTTGAACATAGTCACTGCAAGAGCAATGCCAAAATTTTAAAAATTACAACAGTTCGTGAAAACATGTATGAATGGATATCAAAAAAAAAGAAAAACAGAAAATCCAAAATTTAATTTTAAAGTCATTTAAATTTAAGCTGTTATAATAACTGAAGTGAAATTATTCAATAGTTGTAACATTCTGAACGAAATATAACGAGATTAATTGTATGCAAGACCAGGTGTAGTTGGGATGAAGGGTATGCAGAATGATGTGTATGTGCGTAAACTGCAGGATCAAGTGTAGTCGAGACCAAGTGACCGAGTGTACAGTACAATCATTTAGACGGCAACAAATAAGCCAAATTTTTAAATATGAAAAATTATAAGACAAACGAGACAGAAGTACGTACAAATAAACAAAAAACTTATGAAATTTAGGAATTACCAGGGGGTAATAATTATTACAAAGTTTCAAGCGCAATAGTAAAAAAATCTATCCTATTTAAGTCTATATGTATTTAGCACAAACATTCAACAATAAAGAATTGGCGTGAAATTATGATGACCTGTTAAAAAATAAGTAAACAGGATTATTTATTCAATGAAATAATCTTGAAAACTTTTCCAACAAATAAGGAAAAACGAATTGATCATTATCTTAATCTGAAGAACTCACCTCCATAACATCACTTTCCGTCGCACTGAAAGGCAATCCCCTCATGTGAATTGAATAACCTGTCTGACTGATGTAATTACTTACTCTGTTGCCTTTAAACCTTGAACGAGAATAAAAATCATCATCGTCGTCATCGCCATCATTTTGTCGAGCTGTGAAATGTCAAAACATAATTAAGTTAAATAAATATTGCAACACAAAAAATAAGGAAAACTGAAAAGACCTCAAACTGTAGTCATGAAATGATTTTTAGTTATTTAGACACGTTTTTGTTATTTGCTTCATAATAGTTATGTGTCTATTTTTTCTTAATATTGTACATTCTTATGAATAATTTCTACCTGGTAACTGTAATAAAAAATTATGTAAAAGGGCAAATGCCCAACAAGAATGAAAAGTTGAAAAAATAATAGAAGAAAAGCTTAATCTAACCTGGCCCTCTTAATCTATCTTTTTTATTGCGCTGGTACGCAACAGATGTTGGTCGATCGTATGGAGCAGGCCTTCTAGATGTTGCCTGTTGCTGAGACTTGTGAGCTGCTGCAATGGCAGAACGTGCTTCCGACAACGTACTTCTGAATATTTCAATATACCTACAAGATTATAAAAAGTTCACTATCTTACATCAAAATGAAGAAAAAAGTTGAAAAATTTTTTGACGATGAAAACGACTGTTTTTTCCTACCTGATTCAACCGCAGTTCCATTTATTTGTAGAGCAAAAGCAAATATTTGATTTATATCCCAGTTCTGATTCAAGCCAATAAATTTTCCTTATAATATCCACATTTAAAAAACATAAATACATATCCACTAGATTTCGTTATAGAGCATAGAATAACAAGCCGCGTTTAATTTACAATTTCTATTGAAATCAATTTGAAGATATATCTTAAGTAGAATGTTTTGTAATTTGATAACAAAATTTAAACGTTTTGTACTTTGTCAAAAATAAAAAATTTCGTTGAGAGTTATATGAAAAAATTGAAAAAGTGATGCCAGAAATCAACTTATTAAACAAAGTTTAACAAAATATTGAAGCGTAGAAGAGACGTAAAATGGGTTAATTATCTTTAAAAACACAAATTTTAACTAAACAAATAGTAGAAAAAAAATTGGCCACTTGATATAAGTTTTTTAAAAAAAAATCTCATGTAGAAAATTGACTTTTGTAATAAATTAAATATTTTTAATTAATAAATTATTTAATAACTAATGCGTATAGTTAAACAGTTGATAGATTCTTAACGGTATGAGTTGAACTGTATAAATTACTTTTTAATACTGTGGCAATGAAAACCAATATAGTGTAAAAAAAATAAAAACGAGAAATGCTTAACAGGCGGTGATTATTCATTTGGACTTGTAAACAGTAGTCTTCAAAGTTTATAACAATTGGTTGAGTCTGGAAGGCAATTATTTATCATATCACTGAAACAGTTTAATTAAGGCTTCAGCATTATTTTATTTCGTTAACCCAAATTTTAAAAACTCAAGTGACAAAAAAGGTAGATAGATAATTAATTGAACAAAACAGTAGAAAACCCACTAAATGAAACAAACCCAGACAGAAAACTCGTAAAACAAAACACTGCAGAAAGAATAAAAATTTCGATCCCCATCCCCACCTGTGGCCTATGCGTTCTTTGTGCTTTTTTAGCGCCACATCAGCAAATTTCTGATTAGCGAATTGAACATAAGCATCCCCAGTAGCGTTGCCGTGAGGATCTGTCATCAACGAAATCCCGTTTGGAGTTATTGGTAACCCTGCAACCCACAAATGATTTCACAAGTTTATATTCCCAAATTTCATTCATATGTGTAATGTTTATAACGCTTACTTACTGAGTAATTCTTTGCAATTTTAGAAAATCTCATAAAAAATGTAAATATTTTTCAATAGACATCCCATCAGCCCATAGCTACGAAACACGGGAGAATAAATAAATGTATGCCATAACTATAAGAAAAAGCAAATATATTCAAAACACTATATTTAACAAATGAAAAAATGTTAAAGGTTTTATATACACCCTTCCAAAGGTTAAAAGGATAAAACGAAGCGAAAAAAAGTGAAGATATTTAAAAATGACCTTCAAAAAAATTAACAAGAGTGTCCTTATCACAGGAGTAAGGCAAGCCCCTGAGTTTCACAACAGCATCCTGGTTCTCTTCAAACCTTGGCATACCATTCTTTCTCAAAGTCCATTCCATCTCATTTCTTGTCGCTGAGAAGACTGAAACATTTTAAACAACATGATTAGCACTGGCAGGAAAACTTTTAAAATTCCCAAAATACATTGTGATGTTTGTAAACAAAATAAGAAAATGATAAAGCCATAACACGAGCACAAACAACACATACAAATTGAATAAATATTAAAACTGCAGCGATATAACATGAAGCTGATATGAAATGAATTATTGAGTTGAAAAAAATCTCCAAAACATAAAAAAATTAAGATAGCAAAACTCTAGATTGACAACCAGCCGGCAAACCAACCATCAATGTATCTCCTTCCCATGTACTCTCGATGTTTGCTTAGTGCAATGTCCATGTCCTCGGTTGTGCTCAACTCTACAAACGCCTCCCCACTGGGTCGACCATCTTTATTGTACAACAGATTTATATCAGCCAATGAACAGCCTATAATAATAATAGTAGTAGTAACAATAATAATAACATCAACAATAACAGTAATAAAATAATAACAGTGAAAATAATATTAGAAGTAATGTCAGTTGTGAAGGGCCACTGATATGAAATAAAATTTTATTGGTCCAAAAGAGTTTAATTTAAAACTAAATTTTACTCTCCATCTACAATTGCAATGCTAAATCATTGTTGTATACTTTTTTAAAATTACATTTCTGAAATAACATTTACATTTTTGCTTTATTTTATTACAAAGTATTTTGTTTTCACCAACTTTAATGAATCAATACCCTAACTAACCTAACACATTACAAATTTTATTAACCTTCTTATGTACTATAATTTTTAAAGTGCATATTTTCCTTATCAATTTAAGTTAAGTTTATTTTTCACTCTATATTTATCTCTTTATCTCACAAACACTAACTGCATTGTTGCCATCGTAAGAAGAAAAATATACTAATAATTTTCCCTCAGAATTTTCCTATATACTTTATAGTTTATATAAACATAACTTACAATATTAAAATTGGAATCAGATTAAATTTTGAAAATCTCAAGCAAATAAATTAATAAAAGCATAAAAAATAGTATACTAAAATAAAAGTACTATAAAATGAATAACTATATGATTTAATAATTAATATGAAACTTAAAAAAGAAGACAGTTCTTTTTTACTGGAAAACTGGAAAGAAAATAACCTTCAAAAAAATTAATTATTTCCTCATTGCTGACTGACCATGGAAGACCTCTCAATCTAACGATGCAATCATCATAAGATGCAGACATTTTCTTTAACTTGCTTTGCTTAACAAACCTCGTAACGGTCCTGCTAACTACGAATTACGATTAGAAAACTATAAACAGCATTTTATCGCTCAGTACAACAAACCGCAACAAATCTTATTTACAATGCAAAGACATTGCAATGACATTATAAAATAGCGTTACTATTATTATAAAACTATGTTGTTATTCACTCTATTAACCATTTAACCATTTATGTATACAATAACACCTTTTTATCGTTACATATACCATATAATAATAATAATAATAATATTAATAATAATGTCATTTATGAGCGCCCTATGCATAGCGTCAGAGGCGCCCGGATAAACAAGTGTCAGCACCATGGATATATTATATCCCCACAGCACGGCCGCCAAAGGCCTATTCAAACAGATGCTGCTTCAATCGCTTTCCATATATGGAAGGAAAACTGTCAAAGATCTCAGGTTTGCTGACGATATTGATCTTCTAGAATCCAGTGAAGAAGGTCTACAGAAACTAATTGAACTAACACATGTTGGTGGAAAAGATCACGGGTTGCATCTCAGCAAAGACAAAACGAAGGTGATGATTACGGGAAAGGCAGAAACAATGTGGAAGTTCAGATAGAATCAGAAAAATTCGAACAAGTAGACCAGTTTGTGTATCTTGGCAGTCTTATAACCTGTGACAACAACTGCACAAAAGAAATTGACAGAAGGATAGCAATAGCCCATGGAATGTTTGTATCATTAAAGAAAATATGGAAAAGTGGAAATATATCTATAAAAACAAAGTTGAGAATGATAGCATCTTGCGTTTTTCCGAACTTTCTCTATGCATGTGAGACATTGACAATAAAGAAAAGAGACAAAGACAGGTTGGAAGCATTTGAGATGAAGTGTTAACGAAACTTGTTGGGAATTAGTTGGAGGCAGAAAGTAAAGGACGAAACCATCAGAAATCAACATGGAAGACAGAAAAGTGTATATGACAGTCAGAGAAAGAAAATTGGGATTTTTAGGACACATTTGTAGAATGAGGGAAGACAGATGGAAATGTTTTTGAAAAGAAAAAAATGAAATGTAAAAAGCATGCCTAGATGTACACCATCGGCCTTGACGGTCCTCTGATGGACAAAGGAGGATCATTGATCGATTGATTGATTGATCGATTGATTGATTGAATGAATGATTGATTGATTGATTGACTGACTGATTGATTGATTGATTGATTGATTGATTGATTGATTGATTGATTGATTGATTGATTGATCGATCGATCGATCGATCGAATGAATGATTGATTGATTGATTGATTGATTGACTGATTGATTGATTGATTGATTGATTGATTGATTGATTGATTGATTGATTGATTGATTGATTGATTGATTGATTGATTGATTGATTGATTGATTGATTGATTGATTGATTGATTGATTGATTGATTGATTGATTGATTGATACTATATAAAAGTGTCCCGTATTTCACGATCTTTGACTACACAAGTTTTATTCATGGATAATGACGCATGATTTGAATTTCTTGTGATCTACATTTTTTTTATCTTGCTATAATGTATTAATTATGTTTTCGTTGTGTTTTCATATATCCAAATTAACGTTAAATATAATTTCACAATTTATATTTTGTAAATATGCTATATTAACCTGTCGTAAAAACACTAACGTTTATTATTTTGTGAAACGTATGTAGAGTTAAAATTTGATCTCTTGTTTACCTCTGCTACTCACAATTAGTTATAAATTATTTCTGCCGTTTGATTTTCTAGTATTGTCGGCTGCTCAATATTAATGATTCCCTATATATGCATATTCTAAATATATATACTATTGGTATTCTTCAGAGGATTGAACTGTGGTTAAACTAAATGTTTTGTTGAACAAACAACCTTTCAACGTTCGTCCAAAAATTTTTACTTAAACAATCTACTTCAGTCTTGTCAGAAAATCATTCCATATTTTAGGCAGAGCAACCTGCTGCAAAATTTAAATTTTAGTTGCAGAAATTACCATCATTTATAACAAAACTAAACGCAATGCCTGTCCCCCATCTATTTTAGTACTCTTACAAAAAAACCACTTTCAGATAGTCTGCGTCCGCACCATGCACGCAACCACGATGCACTATTTTAAATCCGTTCCTTGATCGGTAACAAGTGCTGGAGATTCTCTAACCACTTTGTAATATGATCACGTCTACTTAGACCAATAACCAATCTGGCGGCAGCATTCTGGATTCGTTGAACTTTATTTACCCTTCCACTCCTAAACCAAAATCTTATAACATCGAATCGCAAAAGTCCTATCAAGCCAGACTGTACAATATTCACCACCAGGCTAGTTAAATTATCAGCTGGAAATTTTTTTGTCCAGATGCAATCTTCGTAGCGGTAGAAAGCAAATAAGATTTTGAGTTTCACCACCTATTGAGTTATAGGCTCTCGCTCGCATATAAAAAGCGACGCAATTGTGTTATTAGCCTTTACTCGCACTTCCTTTTTCAAGAATGCGTTTACATTTACATTTTGTAATTTTTGCACTAGCTTTTGAATTGTTTATTTTGCATAAATGTTAAAAACCTTAAGTTTTCTAAAAAAAATTTATGTGTCATTTCTTTAAAATAACGTTGTTATATTTCTATTAATGTATGTATGCAGTTTGTACGTACGGACCATGAAATTTAAAAATAAAAGTGCTCTATCGTATCTCACATTATACGCTATGTTGTAAGCAAGAAAAGCAATGACACCAGGCATCCATTGCAAGCAGACACAGCGGGTGATTGTTTACTTAAAGTGTAATTACGTAATAGCTTTCCGGTCAACTTTCTGATCAGAGGTTTAACTTACTTCGTTCTACCATTCACTGCGTCTGGCGTCAAAGAATAATACAAAATTTGAATATTTGCATTGTGAAAAAGAAATACAAATAATTTTCATAAATGATATATAGTGCATATATTACAAATGCAAACCCAAATGCACCATCTTTGGTGTAGGTTTTCACACAGAAGACGTTAAAGGGTTATAGGTAGAATAATCAGCGCCGTAGACAAGGGCGAATTCCCCAAAAATTTCAAACATAAGTAACAATATACATTACGTGAATATTGATATTTTTTTTTAATTTAAATAGGGTTTAGCCACACTTATTCCATGAAGGGCCTGCGTGTATTTATTTGTTAACAAATAGTGATTAATAAAACATTTTGTTTGTTTTTACACATATTTTAAACTTACACAGCGTGTGACTGCCACAAAATTTTATAAACTTTTCAGTGTTATAACTTTGTTATGGTTGTTAATTTTATATATTATTGTATATTATCATATAGTTTGCAATAAAATGATAAAAATAGTAATACAAATTTTTTAACATGGAAATGGAAATGACATGGAAATGAAAATAATTTTCACGAATGACCTGACTCAGTGTAATACATATATTAACATTTCTTCAATCATTCATCAAATCATTCATTCGCATTTTCTATATATTATCGTATATTATCGTATCGTGGTTTCCATGTGAATGTTGTAAACGTCAATTATGATAAAGCATTAATTGAAGATCCTGGTGTATCGAGTTTTGTCTGAAACTTTTAATTACATCGAAAAGGATATAACTGTCCCGCCATGAAATGAATAAAATATAGTTCATAAATAAGTATATAAATGAATATTTGAATATAAATGTAAAGAGCAAATACAAAAGAATCAATGAATAAATTATTTATATAAACATGTGTGTGTGTGTGTGTGTGGCAGTGTGTGTGTGTGTGTCTGTGTGTATGCGCGAATGTATGAATTTGCGTGTATGTGCGTGTGCGTGCGTGCGTGTGTTTGTGTGTGTGCGTGCGTGCTTGCGTGTGTTTGTGTGCGTGCGTGCAACAAGATTTTATCCTACCCTCAGATACAAAACTTCGGAAGATACAATTAAGATTAAATAACATCGAAATCCCAATAGCTAAGACCATAAAGACAATCATGCTTATTCATCCTACATATATATAAATATATATATGTGTGTGTGTGTGTTTATATATATAGAACCCGTATTATCTATATAAACATTATATATATATATATAATGCATATATGTATATATAAATATATATATATAATATAATCATTAAATTTTGTCGCTATAGTATTATTTATTAACTTAAATTTTAAATTCTCTACTTTTCTAATAATTTATTGGCAATATATTTTATTTTTAACAAAATAATAGAAAAATTTAAATTTAAATTAATAAATAACACTATAGAGTTAGATTTAATGATAATTGTATACGTAATGGCCTAATACTTAATTATATATATATATATATATATATATATATATATATATATATATATATATATATATATATATACGTATTCAGAACACACACGTAGTGTGTTTATGTATGTGTGTTTGTGTTGAAATACGTTATGGTAGAAATTTTTGAAGGTTTGCATTTTTAGTAGTTGAGAAGGAAGTTAATAAAATGTCAGCAAATCCGCTTCAGTCGTTGAAAATAAGAATTCAATCCCAAAAGGATGAACTGGACAAGATTAAGGATGATTTAGAATTGAAATGCAAAGAAGTTGATGATGAAAAAATGAAGCGTTCTTCTGTAAGTATAGTTTATGCCGTGTTGTATATTTCGAATTCCAATACTTATTCAATGGTGTTTTTGGAATTATATAAGTATTTCAGGCAAAATTTCATTTCGTTGAAAATTTCCTCGTCGTTTTAATAGGCATGCGCTTGGGCTCGGTTGTAGGGGTATATGTGGAGAGGGTCTTTCTTAATAATAAACGTATGAATACATACGTTACATATTCATAGCAAAACACAAAATAAACATTTATTTAAATATGCATAATAACTATCCTTAATCCACACCCTAAGTAAACGCTTATCATATTAATAGGTAAGTAGTTAAAAAAATACTTTTTCATCTTGATAAGTTTATATGGTTAATAAATCAACTTTTGACATGTTAAAATTTGTTTAATAATTAAGATTGAATTAGAACTGACAGCCTTGTGTAGAAGATTGAAGCTGATCGAACAGGAATACAACCTCGCCCAATCAAGACTCGAGAGTGCAAAAGAAAAATTGAATTCACTTGTCGAAACTGCGGAACTTAGCGAAAAGTATTTAAATGCCATTTTATAATATTATCTTGCATGTTGTAACAGTTTCTGCGTCTGTCAGATTCTGATTTTTTAAGAATAATAATAGTAATAATAACAAATACACATCACTGCTTTATCGAACTCAAAAATCATTTTGTGGACATTGGTGTGTCCGCATTTTTTCTACGCTTGGCTCCCTTCCAAAATATTTCGGCGAAAATGGTTGGATGATCTTTTTATTAAATATCAAGTTTCTATTAATGTTTTAAAATTGAATATTTTTCATTTGTCGTGAACACAGTCACGAGCCACAACATTGTCCCGTATATGTCCAGGCTCTACTTCTAAAATTTTTTGCTTTATATACAGTATATGGCATATACCACAGTGCCATATAAAATGACAACTAAATTGTGCTTGGAAAGCGAAAATTTTGGATTGGTATTAGCATAGACAAATGATGGAGTCGAGCATTTTGAAATGGATTTTAAAGTATACCAGATGGAAATATCACTTCAAATTATACTGCTAGTGAAACGAATCTATATATGAAAGTTGATGTGATACTTTACTTTGATGAAAACCTTTCTGTACACAATTGTATCTAACATTTTTGTTGTAAAAATTGTATCAGTAACGCGTGTGGTGAAGGTAAAAATTTGCAGAATTTGCGATGGATTGTTTTTTTGACTGGACAGGCGTCAGCAAAGAAAGAATGATATCACACAACGCTGACAAATCAGGAGGGCAGCATTGAAAACTTGAAAATTTTTGTCGCCAGTAGAAAATAGAAGCTTCTTGCAATAAAATTTAGTTTGCAATTTGAATAACTTGAAAAAAACGAAGAATATAGGTTATTCAACAAGGAAATTTAGCATTAAAAAGTCTGTAGCTGCGGTTGAAAAGACAAAAAAAACGTTAGGAACAATTATATCAATATGGTTCAGATAGAATTCTTCACATTTGTAAGGCATCTAAATAATATATATTCACAAATTTTAAAAAACTATTCTCACATTTTGTTTGATTTTAATGTACATACCTTGTTCTCGACGAGCATCAATGTTTTTTCGCTAGAAGGCTGGTTAATTTTTCTATTTGTCTTTTAATGGTTTATTGTTTTAGACTTATTCATTTTTTTAAATGTATTTGTTTATCCGCTCGTTTGATTAATTTGAGACCAACCGTCCACACATAGGTACAGATTTTTATTAGTAAATGAATTTAATAACTTCCGGTTGTTATTTTTAACTACAGCCACAGGAAGATGTACGAAAGTCAGGTGAGCGTCAGCGACGATCGGTCGACGAGTTTAGATCAGCTAGTGAAAGAAAGTAAAGAAAGGGCAAACAATGCAGAAATTAAAATGAATGAAGTTCGTATTTTGAAATAAATCAAACTAAGTTAATTGTTTTTTTTATTATTGCCTATATCTCAATAGAGAATTATATTTAAAATTTATTATTTCATGTTAAATTATTATTATTAGGAATTTGTTTATATAGCGCTACTTAAAAAGTTTTCAAAAGCGCCCTCAAAATAAAGATTAAACTTAAACTGACTAAGTAATGGCTAAAAACAGAATAAAACATTGTCAATCTGAGAGAAAATATAAAATACGTAATAATCATTGATGATAGTTTATCCACCGCACGATGGTATTGACAAGGGCAAATTTGGATATTTGTATTCAAGTCATAATATTCCATGACAAATGATAAAAATGTGTGGCCGTGCATCAATTAATATTAATACCAAACAAATATAAAATATGAATTAGAGGTGAGAAATGATGGATGCGTGTGAGTCCGTGCTAGTGTGTGTGCGTGTTTGTGTTGTGTATGTGCGTGTGTGTGTGAAAAAAAATTGTCAATAGTGCGGCGGACAAAAGATTTTTTCTTAATGATTAAAATTATTTGCATTGAATTTATTCAAACATTTTATTGAACTGATAACTTATCGAAAGTCGGATTCTAGTTCTTTTTTTTCAAAGATTTACATTACGTTCATGAAAATTTCTCGAACTATGCGGCCTTAGAGCGTTGAATCAATAGTGACACTTATAATTTACAATGACAATGTTGCTTTGTTAACCAATTTTTAAAATTGTTTTTTGATTTGAGGCATCAAGAAAATTAAAAATGCTTCTTAACGAACTGGATAGAGCTGAAGAAAGAGCCACTGAAGCTGAAAGGTAAGCTTTATTGGCTAGCACATTACTCATGAATTCGTACTCTTGGATACATTACTTTTAATCAAAGTAATTTTGAATAATTTTCACAATTATAGCTGGTTTTTGATACATTAGATTTATCAAGTTGAATTTTAATTACTTTGATTCATTTTGATAAATTTGTTATCAGTTGCGCATATTGTTTCAATTTTGTGGACGAAAAAATTAATAAATAAATAAATAATATTGACAATGAAATCAATTGTGGACCAGAAATTATTTTTAGAGTGAAAATTGAAAAAAAATTGAATAAAATAAAAAATCACAATAGTCCAGAAATTAGAAATTGACATCTGCCAAGAGTTAGGGCAACATTATTCATAATCCTGATTCTAATGTGCTTTTTAGAGCTAAAGTGGTGACCGCAAGATTTGAAAACGTCTGCAATATGGCAATCGAAAGCCGATATTTGGCAATTGTGAAACCGAATAATTTGATGGAGTTTGTATAGATCCAGCGATGTTTGTATAAATAAATGTTGCAAATTTTATCAACTAACATATTCCGACCAAGAATGTCTCGGACTTGCGTAGATTAAAAAAAATTTTATTGTGCACCACTGATGAATTATTAATGTGACTTGTGCAGTCCAGAAAAGCGTGGGTGGAGGTTGGGGGCAATAATTTTAAAGATAATGAGAATATGCACTGCACAACAAATCAATTTTATATTGATACTATATCTGCTAAAATGTAGCTAAGATATAAAATATCGTAAAAATTGTTTTTCAATCAATATTTTGATTTAACCAGTTTTGACTTATGTTAATGTGAATTTTTATTTGTAAATATCAGAGTGTTGAATTATACCTAATCGTACCTAATTTATCCAACATACATTTTAGTTGAATTATGTTAAATTCATTCCTAAATAGATTTTTTTATAATAACATAGAAAAATGGAAGACCTCGAAAACGAATTAGACAGAATCTCCAGTTTGTTGAAAAGCAAACAAAAAAGTGAAGGAGAGGTTGGGTTGAGGAAAATATTTTTTTCGTTCAAACTTTGAAACTTTATTTTTTGTTATCCATCTATTGAAATGCTGTTTTAAAAGCAATTTTTATAATCTTGATTTTTAAAAAAGAAAAAAAAATTAATTTTACTGGTACCAATTACCCATTTTTAGCGAAAGACGTAGTCATAAAAATGAAATTCATGGTAATATAATAGTACTAAAAGGACATTTAACGTTCCAACGCATTGGTTGCCTCTAAATTCGCCGAAGTTGAACCCATTTGTTTCATATTTTTACGCCAAATTTTCTAAAAATGTTATATATAACTTGATACAAAACGATAGTTGTTTACCTGATACCTGTACGGACTTTTTGGCATACAAAGCAAGGCCGTTGTTGATAGAAATGGAGAAAATGTTTTGAAACTTAGGCCTGTGCAATCTTTATGAATGCAATCTTATCTTTTGAGAAATCGAAGAGACAAAACGTGATGATGTTAGTAGTCATTGGAATACGTGAAGTCTTCCCATACGAGTGGGAGAACAAAGCTGATGTTGAAGAAGATGTTGAAAACACAAAAATTTTATAAGAACTACATTTAAATAACTCAAAAAGTTTTAATTATTATCATCTTTCAAAATCTTGTGGATGAATTGTTAGCGCTGTAACTAGCTCCATTCCTAATTTGGACACGAAATAATACAAGTCTTTACATCACCTCTCGAGTTGACACATTGTTCGTCCCTGAGTTTTTTCAAATGAAGACTCATTTTTTTAACACATGCACGTAGGCTGCAGAACAACTTCTTTCAGCAAAAATTATTTTTGTTCGTGAAACAGTTATTTAACAAAAATAATAAATATTAATATAAGCATTTATATAGCGCCAATTTGCACCTGGAGCCTACGTGCATGTGTTAAAAAAATGAGTCTTCATTTGAAAAAACTCGGACGAACAATTGTCAACTCGAAAGGTAACGTAAGCGTGACGTAAGTTGCAGCTAGCGGCATAGACGTCAAACCTTATCGTTTCTTCAACTTCAGCTCGTTCATAAAAACTTCTATTAAATTTTTGAAAGATGTCTGCGTCTCTTCTAGCAAAAATTGAGAAGGATCAAGAATGCAATCATCCTACAAGACTTGAAAAATTTGAAATAGTCACTTGTGATAAATTTCACTTTGTTTATCACATTAAAACTTTTTATAAATCAATATATGTTATGCAAATGATTTTTTAATTTCATAACCAACTAACCCAAAGTGATTCAGAATTGTATTAATTGCAGTCAAACGAGAGAGAAGAACTTCACCAAACGACAATCACCGAGCTTACCTCAAAAATTAAATTGGTTATATTTCATTTTTTAATAACAAATTTTTTTACTAGTATAAAGTTGTTTCAACTTACTTCAACTTTGAGTCAGCAAGCTCCACATGCACAATCTGACGCAGCAGCTGAAAAGCATATCCTCAAACAGGCATGATGATATTATAGATTGATGTTAGATACGGTAACAAGGCATAATTTTTAAGAAATTAAAGCGGGGTGGAAAAAATAAGCCAGCACCTCCATGTCGAGAGTCGCGACCTTTTTTGGTTGGCACGTTTGCGGTCTGATTGTTGATTTTGTATATTTCTTCCAATAAACAATTTTTACTTTATATTAGGAGTTGACTCCGTCTTTAAAGATTTGGTCTTAATAAGAAAAAAATGGTCTGATTAATCGGTGGTCCTATTAGATGTAGTGTGACGTATCTGTTTAATCGGTTTCTACTGATTTTACCATATTTAAATAATATAAAATTATTGTATTTAATTAAATATTTTTAGTTTGAAAATAAAACTTTTGAGGATGAGCGTAGTTCAATCAAACTACAGAGGGAGATCAACAGACTAGAAGGTTAAACTTATTAATTATTTTTCAGTAAACTTTATTGATGTAAAAAAAATTATTTCTAATTTACAGGAGAGTTGAAGCATTCTTTAGAAGTTAAAGAGACAATTCAAAAAGAAATGGACGCGTATTTTAAAGCGTTTGAAAGTTTATGAAAAGAATTTGCGCTTCATATACATATTTAACTCGGTTACAAAACTATCCAAGTTAAAAATAAAACTTAAACATAAACATAAAGAAATGATGGGCGCGAAAAACATATGCCCATATCTAAATGAAATAAAATGTTATTATAATATCATTATATATGATGACTTTTCAAAAACAGAAATAAACCACACACACACACACTCACTTATATACTTCTAAATAAAATAAAATAAAGATGTACGTTACCCACACATACTATCACCACAAACCACATCCACACACACCCGTATAATACATGCATACATATACTAAAACAATACTGATAATGAATAATCTTAATCAAGCACACCTACCCAGACGTCTATACACACCGTAAATACATATAAATACTTTAAAAAGTATAGTAATAACCAATAAATGTTAATAACTATATATTAACCTAACAATATACATATATTTAGTTCACACATACATCCAAACATATAATGTCCAACAACATTTACTGTTTACCATTTATAACAATCACATTCAAATTTCCAAGGAATGTTAAACCAATGATTGTCCAGATTCTTTTTAAATTCAGCAATGTTTCGAGAGCACACCACATCTTAAGTTACATTTTATTTTTGAACACCAAGGGCATTTGCTTGGATGAATTTGTATTTTTTATATTCGCGAATGATGAAGCTCAAAAAAGTATTCTATTTTTAAATTAATAATACAAATTTCAGACTTTGTATATAATGATCCCGAATAGATAACTTTTAAAATTATATTGAATGATTAATTATTATACTTATTTTTTTCATTAATTGAAATTAGGAAACATTTAAGCGTGTATTTATTTTTAAATTTAATAGTATTCGCTCAAAGATTTGAAATAAACAGTTGAGAAATTTCAAATTTAAAAATAATATAACCAAGATGTGAATATTTACGCCGCTTTATCGTGTAATTTAATAAAAAGATTAAAGGAAGGTACAACCATGGATATAATCTTATATATATATATATATATATAATCTTATATATATATATATAATCTAATATCTATATATATATACAATTATTTATAAAGATCACTGCGTTTTCGGCATTATTCAACTTGTAGTTGAGTTTCTCAATTTTTCTAACGAGACTTATCATCTTGATGAAGTTTATTAAGGTTAAATAAAAAACTTTTAATATTTGACATTTTTGACAAAACATTATTAATAACGTTATTACTACTGAAAAGCTCTTTTCGGCTTCAACTGCCATCATCAGTGTAGTTATACAGTATTGTTCCGTCTTTGTGTCATTGTTTTCACAGCGACTTTAAGAAACACATGATTAACTTTAATCCTAATTAAGTTACAATCATATTATGATGCTATATTCCGCCACTTAAATATTATTTTGAATCTAGGTTTCAATGTTGAATAATTAAAAACATATACAAATAATGATAGATTAAATAAGACATGCTTGTCTTGTTTTGTATTTAATGGTAGCTAGATAAATAATAATTTAACGAAGTATTGAACGACATAACTTCAACAAAGAATGCATTGATGTTGGTTTTCCACTCCATCCATCTGGGACCAATCGTACCCCATGAACTGCCGACCAGGCGGTAGAGAGAGCAACTTAGTTAGATGTGAAACAAAATATCCAATCTTAACTTGTTAAATAAAGTATCTGACCTATCAACCCCGTGCTTCATGCCTTATTTAAGTTTTCATTATCTTATCATTGCATGTGCAACGTGTAGGTACATACAACGTAAATATAAATACGTGTATATGTCAATACAACCTGCATACAGTGCACGCTACGTTTATGTACAACGTGTATATGAGCAATTAATACTATTGTTCCCATACAACTTGTATATTAAATAGACATACATTACTGTTTTCGCAAAAATCAATTTTCAGTGATATCTTCAAAGAAATCACATACACGAGCGATGAACATCTGTGACCACCTCTGCTAAATTCAACGTCATTTGATCAGTTCGCGGTCGTGAATAATTTATGTTCGCAACGTTGTACGTAATGGAACACGTATATTAATAATAATATTGTTATTGAATTTCACTTCTTAAAACTATTTCGCGAGCATTTTACCGTATATAAAATTTTTAATAATTTAAAAAATGTTATTGAATGTAGTTTGGTTTCTGATAGTTACGATTTTTGACCGCTCGTCTGCTCGAAATGGTTTCATTAAAGATCAGAATGAAGATTTAGTTCAGTTCCCACCAAAGTTGCAGCCCAGTTTTGATAGCAACATTCCGATTGGTCATTTACGACCACTGGGTAGATTATTTTTATAAATCACTTTAAATTATTTTATTGTCACTCAACTATGTGTATGCATTATTATGTTTTACTCTTAAAAATTGGATGACCCAACACGAACATTCCAATTTGCTATCTGAAAAGATACTTTACATTTTATTCTTTTAAAACTAAAAAATAATATTGTTTAACGTTAATAAAACATAAAAAAGGAAAAAATTAACAAAACACTAACGACTGGATAGTGATAATAAATATATATTGTCTCAATTCAAACAATATCAATTGAATAATTTCAATTATTTGAATTCAGAAATATCATAGTTTTTTTTTACCCACATTCGATTCAACAATTTCGAAAGTATGATTAACGTAGTTTGTCAATTACGTTAGGCCAGTAGTGGGCAAACTGCGATCCGCGGGCTGCGTGCAGCCCACCAAGCCATTTTATGCGGCCCCAAGAAACAACAAGGGTCGTCAGCCACAAATGTTGCCCCTTTGGTCAACATTTCAACATTTTAGAAAATCCTCCCCAGTCAACGTTCGGAAAATTTATATGTATATGTATATATATATATATATATTTATATGTATATATGTATATATATATATATATATATATATGCGGCCCTCATAGTAAAAAGTTTGCCCATCCCTGCGTTAGGCACTGGTAGAACCCATCAAGCCGTCGATTAAAAATAATAATTTAAAAATAAAACAAACTCGATAACCGAACGGTGGCATGTGTGTGTGTATATGGTGTGTCTGTGTGTGTTGTGTGTGTATTTTTATTGGTTGATAAACATAGCCCTCCAGCCGTACTTGCATAAGCAGATATAGATGTATTGATTAATGTATTGATTAATATATTGATTAATATATTACAAACGTTTTGGAAAGGATGGCAGAACTTACCTGAAGGCATTATAGCCGAAGAAAAGGGAATGTTGTCATACGAGAAGTTTTTCAAAAAGTACGTCTCCAAACAAAAACCTGTCGTATTCAGAAATGGCATAACGGAAGCTCCTGCTTTGGTCAAATGGAGCAAAAAAAATTATTTGAAAGAAAAGTAATGAATTTAATTATACAGTCTTACTTTGTAAATGTTTTATAAATTTTAAATGCTTTTGCCGATACTTCATTAATTTGTTTAGGTTTTCTCATATTGACGTTAACGTTACTGTAAAAAAATCTAAATCTGATAACATCCCAAAAACCATGAAGTTTGGAAAATTTTTGAAAGATTATTTGTACGACAACCTCTACATGTCCAACTACGTGCCTCAAGAAATGATGGCGGACCTCGTGGTATTTTCTCTTTTGAATATAGCTTTTAAAATATTTTTTGTCAAATATTTTAAAGTCAAATAAATGTAAAAAAATTCACGCAAAATTTATGTATGGCGTCAAAAAGCAAAATTAAATAGCGAGATCCCCTGAACAAAAATCACACATCGGGAAAGAAACAATAGCTAAACCACAATGACGAATAATTTTTTTATTATTCTTTAAAAAATCAGAATCTGATAGACGTAGAAACTGTTACAGCATGCAAGGTATAAAATGGTAACGAATACATAAATAAATAGCGGAGAAAAAAAAGCAATGATTTAAAAAAGCAAAGAAATAAAGTAATTTATTAATGTACTAGTAATGACTTAGTGAGTTAGTGAAGTGATCGATAAGAAAAAGAAAACTATATTGAGTAAATGAAAAAGTTTTATTGACTTTTAATGTACTTCAGGTGTCTTGTGAGGAAGGTCTTATCCTGATATGTTGATTGAGTGGCGGACTTGATAGTTATGCTTACGTTGATGAAGATTGTGTGTAGTAGTTTTGATTAGTGGTAGTAGAGGGTGGATGACGTGGTTGTTGTTATTTTGTTTCTTTCTTGAACAGTCTTGAATCGAGTGTGTTGAATATCTGAGTGATGGTAGGATATGATGCAGGGAGATAGTTGAAGCGAATTAGTTTTTTGATGAGAGATTGTAGTTGCTAAAGTTGTTGTTGTGTAGCAAAACCAGACTAGGAGCGAGCTGCATATTTGATGCGTGAGATGATAAGTGATTCACTGATCTCGAATAATTTGATGCCTCTGAGACCATGGGAGTGAAGTGTTTTGAGTGCGTGAAATGTTTGAAAACTTTTTATGATGATGTGATTGATATGAGGTGCTATATTAAGTGTGGAGGTAAATGTGATGCCTTATATTTTTAATTAATTCGTGCGAGTGATTGATGGATGCTCTAGAGGTAATGCTATTTTCTTGCGACTATTGTGAATGATGAGTTCGAATTATTTATTAAAGCTTAGTGACAGATTGCATTGCTTTGGCCATGTGGTTAATGAGTCGAGTTCTGACAATAATAACAATACTGTATCATCAGCTGCTATAAATTTTTAAAAATATTATAATTGCTAGTTAGATAAATGTCAGGTTAGTTGAGTTGAGTTATTTGAGCCATAACCATGACAACTAAAAATACCTAAATTTTTCATGTTTCAATGCTAGTTAATTATGGAAATTAGTTAAAATTATTTTTTTGTTTTTCTTTTCCAAATGAATTTGTATTTTATCACAAATTTTAAATCCTCTGTTTCATATTTTCGTAGTGGCAAAGTTTCAGGTAAAAAACTTTTTTACAATTTGGTGTCTTTCTTGATTTGATGTTTCAAAATTTTTATCTTCTGTTTGATTGGCTCAAGGCGTGTATTTAAAGCTTCTGCTTGATTTCGTTTTGAAACGCTGCCTCGTCATTTGTCACCAAGCTTGCGTTTGCCTTATTGAGCTTAAATAATGTTTCGTTTCAACAAAATGATATGCACAGGGTGTACAACATAGAAACAATGAAATCGCGTGTCTTTAACAAAAATATTTCAACAAACGGTGCATTTTATTACATTTATAAAAAATTTTTTCATTTTAGTTAGCATCAAAATTAAGTAATAATTTATCACTTTTTTCATAGTTGCCTAGTTGTCTGAATTGTGCTTTTGAAGACTGGCTCATGGAATGTGAACTATGGATGAGTTCGGGAGGGACCAGCAGCTTACTTCATTCACATGCCGATCACGATGTTCACTGCATGATATCCGGCCGAAAAGATTTCATACTTATTGAGCAAAACTACAAGCATGTTTTTAAATTTATTGAAAAGGTAAATATATGAATGTCAAAATTTGATACCTTTTGAAATTTTTCACATAACCATACTTTATCATTTTATTTTTTTTTATTAAAAATATATATGATGATGTAAAATAACTAATGAAGCGTTTCCATTTCTACCAAACATTTTTGAATCACAGCAAATAATTTTATCAATCAGCTAACTGAACAGACTGTCAATCAGTCCAACATCAACCAACCAATTTATGCATTATAAATTTTTATAGTCCTATAATCTTTTGAGATCTTACAAATTCAGATGTTACAGGCTAGGCAAATGTACCAAATAACGCATTCTACGTTCAAGCATATCTATTTATAACAAATAAATGTTCTTATTTAAGAGGCTCATATTTTATATTCATCAAATTTGATCTATTGTTGATTTGTAAAGGATTTGATCAGCCCCAATGTTTGAGTGTTTAGACGCTTTTAATGTTTCTATGTTCTAACGCTTCTGATGTTGGTTTGTTTAATCTTGTTGGTAAGTCAAAAACCACAAAATTGAAATTTTTTTACATGAGTTATACACCTTTAAATATCCTATAGCCATTAAATTTATGAAATATTTGCTACGTTTTAAATGGTTCATAGGAACATTATCATGGTGCCGGATATTCTGACATTGACATGGATCAAATAAATATGTTCAAAGATCGAGAAATCGGCAATGTTCCTTGGAGGTGGAGCACATTGAGGCCAGGAGATTGCATATTTGTACCTGCTGGTAAAATGAAATTATTATATTTTCACAAGAATAGAAATTTTGGTATGAAAATTTTGTACAGGTTACTTGCACCAAGTACGATCTTATGGAAAAAGCTCATCATACACCAATCATTTTGCTCCAACTCCGAGCTTAAATTTTGCCCACTGTAAAGAAAATTACAACAAAGAGTATCCTCTAAATGAAAAACACTTTTTATGGAGTTACATAAACGGAAAATTGGTAAATTTTACATTTGATCTTCCGTATTAATTTAAGCTTGGCTTTGTTTACTTTTTGTTAATTCCAATTTTTTTTAATTTTTTTACGATTTTTTTCAATTCAAGCTGCTTGCTAATGATAATTTGGATGCAAAAACTGTAGCAAAAATTTTGCTGATGATTATTCGGAACCAAACGACGTTGACAAAAGGTCTTTTTGAAAGTTTTTACGACGACGTAATGGCACAAGTATTTATCTTCAGTTTTTATGGATTGTGGATTTTATTAATTCAATCGAATAACATTCAAAATGCTGCAACATAAACTACAGGCTACAAATTATCCCCCTGTTAATGAAGTGTGGTCACTGCTCACATCAAGTTACCAAGCCGACGTTCAAAGCATCTCTAGAGTTTATATCTCGAAGATTCCGAATGAAACACTCAATAAACTGGCTCTAATATTTAATATGTCCCGTAGGCAAATGTGGCCGGCTAAAAAAGATGAACTTTAAACTTTAGCAATATTATTAAATAAAAATAGCTAATACATTCGCAAGACAAGATTGTTTTTTGTTTAATTTTCTACAAAAATAATTTTATTTATTTTAATAAAATTACGATCATTACAATTTTTGAATCACTTTATTATATATTATTTTTTATGCTATTATCTCTATCATCTAGGCCAGCACATTTCGTGTGGAAGCTGTTTTCGCACTGAAAACCTTTAACACATTGAGAAATATCTAGGTGTTTTTGAACATTTAGATTTCATACATTTCGTTGCCATTATATTATTTAACAAGTAATTTACAGAATTTCACGAGCCAACTATTAAAACTGAAAAACAAACTTGAAACTTTATACAAAACCAAAAAATACTTTATACAATCCTTTATACAATCCTTTATAAATAAACTATGTATGCAAGCTGTGTACGCAAGTGAATCAAGTGACAATGCTGCTTGTAAAAAAATATTACTAATTTATTAATAAACTACAAAATTAAGGGAACTTTTATAATAAAATATATATTATTGAAATTTATTTTGTAATTTATTAATAAATTACAAAATTAAGGGAACTTTTGAAGTATAATATATATTATTGAAATCCCAGAATAATCTAAGTTCAATCAACTTTTTAACAGAAATTAACGTTCAATAACACAAAATTTAACTTTAGAACAGAGAAAAGATAACACAAGCATAGCGTTGAGAGACGTTTGGTATATATGAATAAATATTATATATATAATATTCTGTAAACAATTTCAAAGTTAAAAAAGAAGAAAACTGCGAAATATGGAAATGTCTACACTAGACAGAAATCAATTAGAACATATGAGTTTTATGAGAAGACCGGTTGAAAATTTTGAAGAAATATCGTCATCGTTATCCTGTGATACATCACCAGCGTCATTTTGGTCAACGCCATCATTAGAATCGACGTCACCAACTATCTTGACATCACCCCAGCAACAGGAGCCACATCAACAACAACTTCCAGAAAAAATTCAAAAACAACAGCCACAAGAACAAACTCAACAGACATATCCACAATCAGAGCAACTGCTACAAGATGAATATGATTCAATTTTATTTAAGAGTGATTCAGAAAGTGAGGAGGAAGAAGATAGAGAAAAGCGTATTGAACAACTTAGAAAGAAACTGATGAAGCAGCTGAAGGAGATTCACGAATGGGGAGTACGAGAAGAGATGAAAATGAAACAATATAACCAGTCTCAAGAACAAATTCTCCTGAAACAAATGCCAGTTCAACAAACGCTGAGACAACAAATACCACAACAACAGTTACAACAACCCCATCAACAAATGCTGTACCAACCTCATCAAATACAACTTTTTTATGTAAAAATACCACATCAGCAAATACCCCGGCAACTAGTACCACAACAAACTCATCAGCAACTAAAGCAGTTGACAAAACAAAATGAACAACCTCAGCAACAATACCAACAGCAATACCAGCAACAACAATACCAACATCAATACCAGCAACAACAATATCAACAACCTCAGCAACAATATCCACAACAGTATCAACAACATTTCAACAAACCCATATCAGTTTGGACAACAGCAGCTTCCCTAACAGCACCCCGCAAAACGGCGTCAATCTTCACCTACAACAGAGTCGGGCCAGTCTCTATCGACTAGACTGGCATCAAACATCGAAATGAACAAAACGGCACAGAAAGGAGGCAGATGTCTCTATTCAAAGGATCTAAGTGATTCTCGAAATAGAATATTGGATAAATAAATTTATCACGGAGAGAATTAAGAAAGAATAAATAAGAAGTAAATCGCGCGTTATATATATATATATATATATATATATATATATATCTATGCATTTACATTTACATGTGCATTTCTACTATTTTTTATAAATTATATTTTGTGTAAAAATATATGTGTTCTCTCTTTGTCAGCAAAAGTTTTTAGGCTGAATTTCATTTAAATTGAAAAAAAAATCTTGTTTCAATTTTTCGTCTGCTCCGGTTTTAGATGTTTCGAAATGAAAGATAAACTTTCTTGCATCTGATTTGATCATTTTGATGACGATAAGTAATAAATTTTTTATCTTCAACATACGACATTTTCGTCATTTTTTGGTCACAATTTCACTTTAAACAATCTTTTTTTATTAATATTTTATTGAATAAATTTTACTAAAGGTTTTTATTTACTTCTTAAATTATTTATTTTTTTATTGAGAAACACTGCGAAATATGTTTTAAAAAGTGAAAGGGTAGAACCATAAAAATGAATGAAAATATTTTTGTTCGTGTTCATAGCTCATATTCAGAGGAGGCCTGTCAAGCACGACGATCTCAAATCAGCGTGACCTGACCATATGAGACCAGAAAAAAGATTCTATGTATGCTGAAATATTTTGCAAATGCATGGAATAAATCAATTTAAAAATAATCAAAATGAATAATTTAAAAAAATGAATGAATATTTATTAATAAACTATAAAAATGTAAAAATTATAATATTTGATGATTTTTCATGGAAGGAAACTAAAGAATGAGACCAGACTCTAAAGCACATTGGTATCATATGGATGCTCATATTTCAATAATGTGATAGTGCGGTTATCTATTCATATTTTTATACTTTGAACGTATAAAGGTGATAGTGTTCGAAGACACATTTGAGTACAAATACAAATGTATTATATTAAATGTGACGTGTTATTCGGATCTAGAAGGCCATGGCTCCATCGTTGTCAGCAGTATTTGTAGTAAATAAATATAAAACACTGTTTTATGTAGAAAATCAATCAAAAATTTACGTGATAAGCAATCAAAAATTGTTTTTAATTTTTGATTTTTTCTGATTTGAATATTTGAAGCAATTTTTTACAAATACTAACCGATAACTCCACATGTAATTAACCCAAGTAGCATTGAGTACAAATTTTACGTTAATTATTATTTTTTTCTTTCGAATACTAAACATTAACTACCAAAACTAGTAAACGTCATTGCCACGAATAAAGAAATCGATTTACCTTAAATGATCTTACCGCACTGCACTAAACACGCCTAGCAAATGAAAAAAACTTCCATACACTACCATACGACTCGTAGCAACCAAATCTAATCCAACGTTAACAACGCAACAAATGATTTCAGAAAAATTAAACTAAAAAAGTTATTACTGATCCATGCTTCTACAGTCAATTGCACGTAGACAAGAGAGAACAGTTGAATCGGCCAGTGTAAACCATCTGTCATCCATTTTCTACTTAGCGGTTTCAACAACTGGAAAACTAATACGATCTGTTTTGTGTAGCGTGATTGTTTGTCAGATAATTTCACAAGGCCACTGCTACAACTACTGATGCTGCTACGACTAATACCACTATTACTACTTCAAACTTAACCTCCATAGCAGCAGCGAATAAGTGTACACTATTTTATCATTCATCCTAATCTAAATATTCTTTGGTCATGAGCGTTACAAATGTCTTAATTGAAAAAAAAACTTAAATAAGCATGATACATAGAACATGTGAAAAAGAATAAAGAACAATAAAGTGTAAATAAAGTGTATTATAGTTACAAATAATTTATATAGATATATTTCACGTTTGAAAATTCTAAATAAAATTAATTTTACAAAAATTAAATTTTAATCAATCGTTTATTCATTTACATAATTCTTTTATATTCGCCAATTTCTCAAAGGAATCAACAACATGCACGTGGCAGGCAAGGAACTCTTGGCATTTGAACCCTATCGCTGAAACAGCAACCTAAACCATTACACTACCTAATAAAATAAAATATACGGCTACCTATGACTACACCAAACTGTCTGTTCCAGACAAGTTCATGCCAGGAATCCCCATTGACGACCGAATTTGAAAATAAGCCATCTGAGTCAAATGGATAATGGCAATTGACTATTTCGTCCAGGTCCAGACGTCAAATTTCTTCCAAAGCAGAAGTGAGGGGCCGCATGGACATAGAAATTGATTCCCGTAGGGCTAAACAGTCCATTAACCAACTGTTAACTAAACTGGAAGTAATCTTTAATACATTTTTACATTTTAAGTTTATTATTTTATATTTATCATGATCTATTAAATATATGGTTAAATCCGTTAAATTTAAAGTAACCTAATCATATTTGAAACTTTAACCGAATTTATTAAAAATAAAACCGGCGATTCTGTGTAATGAATAAATTTAAATCTTCAAAAATTTTTAAAGAAATAAAAAACGAAAATGTGTTTCTTCATTTATTTACAATATTCATTTCCTAAATATATGCATTTTATACTTCATGATTTTTTAAAGCTTATTAAACACTCCAATCATGTACACTTTCATGAAACGCAAAATGAAACAAAACAATAACTGGATGCTGCCAGAAAACCAACAAAAAGCGACGAGTGCCTATTATTTCAAAATCATTCAAATTCTACAATTAGTAGTCCCTCTGCATGAAATGGTTGAAACATCTGATATACACACATGAAGTTATATAACCTTCACCAACATCAATAATTCAAAAAATCCTACACGTTTAAACTCCTTACCGACGGAACGTGAAAACCAGTACGTAGTTATTTTTAAATAAATAATTGGCACGTTTTTCAAACAGCAAGTTTTATAACGGGGTATTTTGCATCGGCCACAATAAACGTGATTGAAATATTAAAAAATGATAGCTAAGGTACAATCACTCGAACCAATCAATTGATGCAGTCAACAGTGGTGGCTCTACATTGTGGTCCAGTTAGTGATTTTTTTAACACGGCCTACAATAATCTAAAAAAATGCATAACAGAGCCACCGCCCACAAAACGTTAAAATACAAACGATTTTAAAAAAATGAAATAAAATTCTCACAATGCAGTTTAGGGTAATTAAAACTAATTTTAAAAAAATTTACATCGTAGACGAAAAAAAATAAAATAAAAGCCCATTGAACCCAACCTGGCATACATGACCACGCAACTACACAAGTGATTAAAAATCGAACAGCAAAAATTTCTAAAAGGCACAAATACATAGAGGAGTGTGTTTAAGTTTAATTAAATGAGTTAGCACTTCGACGCAAGTTATAAAACAATTACTCACCCGTGAGGCTACGATTGATTAGAATTAGATTCGACATTTTAATTATTAACAGTTGTTCTAAAAAAGTGTGAAAGTTAACTTTAGAAATTTTGTGCAATAAACTAATAAACCTAAAATATTTAAATAAGTTCAAGCAAAAATTAACAACATACGAGAAAAATACCAAAACTGCAACTTTTATTTATTTATTTATTTATTTATTTATTTATTTATTTATTTATTATGAAACTAGAATAACGGATCAATAACGTTAATAAAATAATAATTTCAAAGTAACTTCGAAAAAATACATTGGTAAATAAAAATAAGAAATGAACGCCAAACACCAAAGATAAAATAATAAAGACTCATTCAAAGGTTGAAGTCATCTTTTTAAAACCGTTACAATTCACACATTTTAAATGTTAGCATTATTCAAATCAGTTTGAACTAGAGACCCACCGAATGCTTAGCCCAGTTTGTACCTTCCATACACACTCAGCAGCATATCAAGTATCAAATAATCCCATAGTTTATTGTGGAACACATGATGAAAAATAAAATGCAACGCTCGAAGCCACGTCGCTGACGTACAACGTGGAATGACATACATCAACATCACCCATCAAGAATCATAATACCTACCAATTCATTGCAACGTCCTACATAAAATGCCTTACAAACAACTCCACTATCACCACACAAACACACGCCAATGTTTTCAAGGAGTAAAAAAGTTTGCACAATGAAACCAATTTAAATTTTAATACATATACATATTCACACGCACACACACACACACACACACAAGAGGGAATGCGTGTGTACAGACAAATTCAAAATGCAAATAAACAAATAACCTAACCAACATTACAAATGACCTACCGATTGAAAAAAGCTAATATGTATGAAATAAATAAATAAATATATGTATATATATATATGTATGTTGGAAGGAGACCAGATTTTATACAAGACCATACGAATTCCACCGAATTGTTGGCAACAATTCTGTAGAATTCATACAATATTATATATAATATATATAATTCATTTATTTATTTATTTATATTACCAAACACATGCATGTATTATTTATTTACATTACCACACACGTGCATGCATGCTTGCATGTACAACAATTTTCACACAGAATAGTAAGTAAAAAACGTTAGAAACCAAATTGAAATAAGGACATTTACAAGGAGAATTTATTATAGGCGAATTGGAGTTCAGCATTCTCCCTCTTCAGCCTGGCAAACTCTTCATCCAACCTCTGCAAATCCATCTCTTGGCAGTTTATGTGAGTAGTTGCATTTTCAAGGATTGAAACTTTTGAAAACTTTCCATTTCCTTTCATGGATGGTACAGCGTCTCGTAATGAAAAAAACAACTCTTTCAAAGTGCTTCTCCTCTTCCTCTCCAGGACATTGTGTTGGGCTCGTTTGCTAGTGTCTTCATTTTGGTAGCGTCTTTTACCCGCATTTGCATTATTTCGTCTGTTGGCAGGTGATAGTTTAGTGTTTTGTTTATTGGACTTATAAGACTTTCTGTATGATGCTGAATGACTTGGATGGTAGGCAGGAGATGCCGGGTCTGAATGGCTGTATATGTGAGGATGTGATTGCTGTCTTTTAGCTATTCGTTCTGAATGTACAGAAGACTGTGGTGAGGGGGAAATGTGCAAATGCATATAATCATCAGATGCGAATGATATTTCACTGTGTTGTCTCTGCAAAGCACGATTTGAACTATAGTTGTGAACAACTGCTATTTGAGCTGATTTGGAAGAATAAATAGGCAGCACCACTTCGTTGTCCAATGTCTCAACATCAATCATCTTCTCTTCATCTGGTCACAAAATTCATTGAGAGATTGTTAAATCGAGTATCATTTTTGAAATATTAATAATTATTCAACACCAAAAAACATGCAAGTACCAAATGATGTATGTTATTACATAAATATATGAAAATTTACGTGATGAAGCATCACATCTGAAAACAATAGCAACCCTACCGGAGCCGGATTCACTGTTCCAAAGTTCTACAAAATCAACTTCATTTAAATTTTGATGATGGTGTGTTTGAGGTTCTGGCTTGATAGAGACGGGCTTCTCACTGGTGGGATTAATGAGGCTGCTCCAATTGCACATAGTATAGTTCCCGAATTCAGCTATTATGAAATAATATGAATGATTTTCAAAAATTGAACTGACCAATGAAAATACAAGAATCTAAGAGCAGAAACACTATCTTTACTAACATAAAATATCTTCATTTATAATGCTGTAGATATCTTCTGCATTTGAATCTGAGCTATAATCACTGCATGATTTTTCTGTTTTTACCAAAGTTTCTGTTTGAAATAAAATTTAATTAGATAAAAACTTGAAATAGATCAACAAAAATAAACTAAATTTTAACATTGTCTGCTCAATCACCTGCACTAGCAATTGCATAAAATTCCTTGAATTGCCTTACAATAACGATCAACTATCAAATTTTAACGAAATACAAAATTACTGCTAAAAAGCTGTTTCTTATTTCTTCATGACTGACAACTCCATGTCTTGCTCGATGATTGATTGACTATAAAGGATTGACAATTACGGCCAAATTACTTTACTAGACCTAAATATCCTTTCTAAATAAATTACTGTTTGACTAGAATGAAATTGTGCTCAGTGCTCTTAACAGGTACACAAACAAATCTTCAATCTGGTCATTATCAGTCAATCTCCACATTGTCACTGTCAGGTCAGGTCAATGCGTACTCTGACCTTTCTCCAAAAACTTAAATGCAACCACCTACATATATGTACATAAGCATGTGTACGTGTGCATGAATTACCATTATGAATATTTACATAGCGCTAATCAAAAAAATTTCATCAAGAGCACCATTATTGATTAAAAAACAGAGATGCATGTATGTATGTGTGTATGCATATATGTATGCATGTACATGTGTATGTACGTGTGTATATATATATTTATGTATGTATGTAGGTATGTACATAACTATGTGTATGTCTATGGAAGCTAAGAGTATTGCTTGAATAAAGTTTATAAATCAACATCATGCTATGGTGCCTCAAGTAGTTCAATGTCCTTACAAACAGATATCATGCTAATATAGTTGCTTATATATATATATATAGATAGATAGATATATATATATATATATATATATCTGTGTGTGTGTGTGTGTGTGTGTGTGTGTGTGTGTGTGTGTCTATATTCAAATTAAGTGCCATACATCAACTTTAAACATATTCTGTAAACAGATTAATCTGAAGGTTCTGACACAATGCATGTTTTAAAGCACGCACACACGCACACGCACACACACGCACACACACACGAAAACAACCTATAATATATACACTTTTTATTTAACAGTGTTTTTTTGTTTGGGGTATATTCAAAACAGTTTCATTATAAATAGCTGCACAGTGCTGTCATAAATGAGTTGAGATGTTGGTTATATAAATAATCCCTCTCTCTCTCTTTATCTCTCTCTTTCTCTCTCTCTCTCGTTATATATATATGTTGGTAATAGACCATAATTTTTACAATATTCTATAAATTCTACCGAATGTTTGGCATTAATATTTGTAGTTCGTTTAATTTAGATGGAAATTAGGTGTCAAACGAACTACAAACATATTAACGCCAAACATTCGGTAGAATTAATAGAATATTGTAAAAATATATATATATGTATATATATATATACACGCACACTGGTAAAAGACCTTAATTTATGAAACCTCTTAGCATTAGTTTTTTGTTACATTTCTCAATATTTTTAACTAAATTCTTGTTGTATGTATACCATTTTATACATTCTACAGAATTTTTGGCATTAATGATTTTATCAGCAGCAGGATTGGTTGGTGTAGCATGACAACCTCCAATCCGTGCATAAATACATGCATGCACACATTTGTTCATTGTGAAAGATGCATTCACAATTTGTCTCATATTTGACATAAAAATTGATACGCCATTTATAAAAATATAAATATATAACAAATAATTTTAAATAACTATTTTAATACACCTACAGTCCTGTGTGGTTACTGTAGTTCTCTAAGTCTGATAGTTATACTAAGAACTATGTTATACTAACTATGTGTAGCTGTTGCGTCATTATATCAAATAATAATTATATATATAAAAATTTCAAGTGCGTTAGTAACAAAATTTTCAGTTGTGGTCCACCCCTGAGACACATTTTTTAAGTGGTCCTTGAATCTCAAAAGGTTGAGATGCGCTGATTATAAACATTGATGCTTTGGTGCAAACAGCATGAGTATGCCTATTAAATTATTAAATTATCCTTTAATAAATTTAAAAGTTCATACATACAAACTACATCATATGTATATGTGTGTGTTAGTGTGTGTGTGTGCCTGCAACATGAAAAATGCATGCACAATGAAGCAATCTCAGACTGAAGCCTATTAAGATTTGTGTGTTGAAATGAAAACACATGTAGAAGAGAGGATACATCAGTAAGCACATTGCACATGTATCTGCAAATGTAAACACCTGTACTGTCTCTGTTGTTCATGCTTACTACCTAGCTTACATCTACAATGTGATTAACTAGAGACAAGAGACAAAAAGGGGAAGTAAACTTCAGATTCATTCACTGCATGTGGGATTTCTTATTAGGATCATAGTAAAAATGAGTACAAGCAAATGTTCCCTGAGGGTCTCAGTAATAAATTTGTTGAGATGTGTTGGAAGTGAAGCTATTGTGGTCCAAAGTTGAAAGTACTCTGCATTCACAATCAGTAGTTTAGATGTTTCAAATTAAACTCCATCAACAATCCAATCCATATTTTGGATGGCTTGCTATGCTGAATACAATGATTCAAACAAATTAACACAGCTACAAATCATTATCATTATTCTATTCTAATCAACTCCTGAAGTGCCAGAGTTCAATTGGGAAGTTATTTATCATTGTTGCACCACTCAGTTAAAGCAGAGCAAGAATTGTATGAGCACTTAATATTGCATTACAACATTATATTCTTCTTTCAGACTAATTACCATTTCAAGACAAGAAATAATGTTGCAGAGAATCCACATGTTCCCTGATGATGAATAATAATTACCATTGAACACATTATCTATTAGAATCCCATAAGAATTTAAATCTTAGTTTATTTTTTTTTTATTTTAAGCACAAATGTCATTTCTATGCTAACAGAATATCTCTTGATGGCTACAAAAATATATAAATAAATAGTCATGAACTAGTGAACTGAAACAACGTGGTTGCAGGAATCATAAAATTTATATATGTGTGTGTGTGTGTGTGTGTGTGTGTGTGTGTGTGTGTGTAAGTGTATGTCTAAACAATAAAAAAAGAACTGAGTAATGAAATGAAATAATGTTGCATGTATTACACTTGCAATGAAAGAGAGCAGCATGTATTAATCTGTTAATCTGGTTTACAAGTTCATTAAAGTTGATTGTGGTAAGGTGATTAATGTTTTCATTGGAATTAAACTTTATTATCGTTACAGGTTTTATTTATTTTTTAATTTTCATTCTATATTATTTCCAACATTCATATCAAATATATGCTGTAGACACTGTCTTACATATGACTAAATACAACATGCAACATTCACTTTAATGTCTAGCTTAGACCAACAAGCAACATTCTACATTCACTACACAGTCTAACACAGACCAAAATGCAACATTCACTACACAGTCTAGCACAGACCAAAATGCAACATGCCACATTCACTACAGCTACACTATCTAGCATTAATATAGACCAAAATGCAACAATCACTTTGCTGTCTAGCTCTAGCATACAACAAAATGCAACATACAACATCCATTACACTATCTAGCATACAACAAAATGCAACATTCACTTATCTGTATAACATACGGCAAAATGCAACATACAACACAATATAGAAATATAGATAGCTTAATGCTAGAAACACAATACAAAACCTATACTTCTGCAAAGGTTTAACAATTCATAACAGAAATTTTGAAATAAACAAGACTATTAAATTAGTAAAGGCATCAACAAAAAACCGAATGAAAATTATATAAAAAAAATAAAGAAAGCATACTTGAAGGGCTTAGTGTGTGCGTTGGTGTTGATGAAAAAGGATGGATTGGAGAACTCGTGCTCATCGACCTCGGACATATCTCATCGGGGTTGCAAGTATTTTCCAACCAATCATCTTCTAAATAATTTGCCGATGTAGGAAAAAATATATCTAAATTTTCACAAGATGTACATGGAGAAGAAGACCTATATGATAGTTGTGACGATGTCTGTGAATCTTCGCTGTTTTTGGTGGAGTGCTGTTGAAAGATAGGTGTATATTGAGACCACATAGGATTATCATCTCTTATTAAAGCTGTTCTTTTTCTTTTTAAATCACATTTAATA